GTCGAAAATTTCTCGCAATATTAATTTAATAAAGGCAAAACTCTAATAAAAAGGAATTTAATGTCAAAATTGAATTTGACATTTTATTAAAAGCAAAATGACTAATTAAAAATTCTTTACAATGAAAAAAGAATATATTGTAAAAATTAATAAAAAATTAAAACATCCTCGGGCGACTCCCTCCTCAGAGTAACTTTTCAAGAATACGCAAAATGTGTTGAAATAGATCACTCTGACTTGGAAGTCTACCCGTCACGAATTGTCTTCTTGCACATAAATTGTTCATTCTTTCATGAACGTGTAAATAAGTTAAACTGCTCGGAAAAAATTCTCAAATTATATTTGAATTTATAATGTACAAAATGTAATTAAATCAATGTAATAGCATCATTAATATGTATATCCAGTATACATATTATATAATACTATCAATATTATATTGCTTTGAACCATTGCAATAACTAAGTCAGATAGTATTTGACTTCTCTATTACAGACAAACTAAATAAAATTGTTTCGGTATTAAAATATTCTAATTCCACATTTAAGAACATTTAAGAACATTTAAGAACATTTAAGAGCATTCATATATTTCATAAATATCTATTGGAATATGTGGAATTGAAATGATATTAAAACGCGGAGTACAAGAAGACCTAGCCTGAACTAAATGAAATGAAACAATAAAAATGTTACTACCCATGGGTATAATCATACCCATGGTCACTATGCTTGTCAACCATGTATACAACTAGTAACCCGTGTCGATTCGGACCATTCGTCCTACGACATGATTGGGCACCAGAGGAACCATAAAACATGCGACTCACCGTTCGCAGATATACTCTTCTTCCGACAGTCAAGTAGGAGGATGGACAACACCAGGTAGGAGGCTGCCTTGTAGGAGAAGACGGAAGTCGTGAAGAAAATTCATCTGTAACAAAACAAAAAAGAATTACGGTTAATTTTGCAAATTATCAATTTTTATTCTAATAAAATTATATATGAAATTGAATTTTATAAAATATTAGCAATAGCAATTAAGAAGAACTCTCAATTATCAAATATTGAAATTGTAAATTATTCTATTTTAATAAAAAGCAATTAAGTGACGTACCAAGACAGAAGTCGTGAAGAAAGCCATCATCAGAATATCCAGGAACTCGGCAAAATCAAAAAATTCATCTGTAACAAAACAAAAAAGAATTACGGTTAATTTTGAAAATTATCAATTCTTATTGTAATAAAATTATATATAAATTTGGATTTTATCAAATATTAACAATGAAAAATAACTCTCAACTATCAAGTGTTGAAATTGTAAATTATTCTACTTGAAGTAAAATTAATTGAATAAAGTAATAAGATACTTACACTCTTTCCTCATGGAGCAACGCCCAAGACTCCTCTTCAGTGGTGCACTGACTCTAATACCGGATATATCGAACAATTAAAAAAAAAAAATTAAAAATAAAAATATAGATATGAAATACTAGTAACGCGACCGTGAATAATTTCCGGCGAACAATTGTAATGACTCTACTTTCACGATGAAAAAGGAAAAAGCAGAGCCGCGATACTCTAGAAAATATTTTATAATACGCAGTAAACACTGACTCTACTATCGCGAGATTCCTAATCGTACAAACGCAATTCTATTCAGGGCCAGTTCACCCTTGTCAAAATCAAAACATTGGAAGTACGTGCAAACACTGACTCTACCGACCGCCTTGCGCGCGGCCACAACAATTCCTGGAAGAAAAGCTTAGTGAGCAGGGACGAGCTGGGTGGAAATATACAAAAAAAAAGAACAAAACATTCTTCCTATCAAGCATTCGTTAAAGAAATACTGTTATGTGTAAATGGAAATATCAGTGTTCGTGAAATATTTTCAACGAACACGAATATTATTTGAGTTGAATATGGATCCTAGATAACATCGTAATAACGAAATGTATTAAATAATTGTTGTTAATTATTCCAATGAATATTACAAGGATAAAAAATCATTGTTAAATACATATAATAAACTACTTTATTAAAGCAGTGGATTTTTGTTGTTAAGATTGTAAGCATATTAAAAATTGTTGGAAATTCTATTACGTAGTAATTTATAAATTATCTAATTTTTTTCAATAAGCAAAATCCAATAATTAATCATGCTTAAACAGCATGTGATTTAAAAACATGATTCTATTTTAATTTAAACTTGCATCGAAAACTGGATATTATAATATAATTACTACGATTTAACAAAAATAGATTGTTTAAAATAATTAATAATTGCAGAAGAGAAGCAATCATTTGCAGTAGAATACGAATCATTTCAATTTTGTTCTAGTTTAAAACAAACGTATTAAAATACTGGACGAAATTATTTAATAAAATGAAAAATTAATTATTCTTTTCCTATGAATTGGTTAAAGAAAAAAAATGTCTCTAATCTTTTCTTTCTTGACTTTGGTAGCAAGTAATTATCAAAAATGCTTACAATTAACAACGACTCAATAAAAACCAAGCAATAATAAATGTTAATAATTGATTAGAATAAATTAAAACAATAAATTCTTACGAAATTCTATTTCAAACCCATATCAGGCGTCCTTTCAATATTCATCAAATATCTGTAACAAATAAGAAATACCAATTTATGTAAATAAACTTTAATCAACAATAATAAAATTATTACTAATAAACGATCGAACTATAATTTATGCAAAATATTTTAATAGGTAGAATGCACACCTACTACTTATGCGGAAGGATGCTCTCAACATGTCTTGTCACTTCGACGTTCGCGAGACAAATGGCGAGACCTTCCTTCCTGCCGAAGACCGATCAGCACCGATCGGTATTATTCGGTAATGTTCGTCCCGAGTCGAACCGAAGCCGGTAGACGAACAGATCTCATAATATTACGATGCTCAAGAAAAAACGTTATTAAATTTAAAACAGCAAATTGTGTGAAACAATACGAAAAACATTGAATAATGTTCAAGAAATTACTGATATAAAGGGAAAATAATTCAGATTCTGCTGTTCCAATTCCATTGTAAATTCACAGCAAGAGCAACAAATGTCAACTCACGTATTTTTAAAGATAACCTCGAATTAATGTAAAAAATCAGGAATCTAGACTTCTCTCCAGCTATTCCTTCTATTTTTTGTACTTTTAACACCCGAAAAACAATTTAATTTAATGTTTGAAGATAATTTAATCTTACCTGTTGCAGACGCGTGGAAAGCAGACGAAGCTTCGAAGAGGAATGCTGCACTGCGCCACAAATCGACGCACTCGCTCACACAACGACGTGTCTGATTGGTCGAAATGAGAGGACGCCAACATGGGACGACCAATCACAGCCATCGATAGAAGTTTCAAAGTGCTTCGAAACTTTAATACTAATCGTAAGGGAAAGGTTCGTTAAAAATTATCGACGCCATATTGAAATAAAATCAAGATTACTTTTCTCAACTTTAAACACCAAAATATAAGAAACAAAGTAGAAAATATATAAGATATTGACGGGATTTAAGAAATTATTGATATAAAAGCAGAATAAATGAAGGAAATGTTATTTTAATTCGTATCTATATCGGTGTAATAGTAAAAAATGAGAAAATCAATTATCATGATATATAACAATAAATTACGGGAAAAATGTACTAAAAACATGAAAGAATGCAATAATATTCGAAAAATTATTGATATAAAGGGAAAATAATTCAGATTCTGTTCTTCCAACTTCATTGTCAATTCACGACAAGAGCAAAAAATTTCAACTCACGTATTTTTAAAGATAACCTCAAATTAATGTCAAAAAACAAAGAGCTAGATTTCTCTTCGGCTATTCTTTCTCTTTTTTGTATTTTCAACACCCGAAAGACAATTTAATTTAATATTTGAAGATAATTTAATCTTACCTGTTGCAGACACGTGCAAAACGAACGAAGCTTCGAAGAGGAATGCTGTACTGCGTCACAAATCGACGCACTCGCTACACACAGCGATGTGTCTGATTGGTCGAAATGAAAGGATGCCGAATGAAACAACCAATCACAGCCATTAGTAGAAGTTTCGAAACTGTAATGTTAATCGTAATGGAATCGTTCATATAATAAATATCAGCGAAAAAATCGAATAATGTACTTTTTTTAGCAACACCCGTCTTGTATTATATTTTATATTATTGTAATTATGTAATAAATAAAGGGGAATATTACTTTAATAACACTTTCCTATGGTGTGATTTTGATACGAAATATTTAAGAACATATTATTTCAGATATAAATTTTGACACTTATGTGCAATGTATGCATAAGCGAAATGTTAATATGTACAAAAATTATAATCAATCGATTCGGTCGACGCATACATATTCACATATACGAGCTGCGAATGAGCGTGTGTCGAGCGCAGAAAACGAACGAACTGCGTCCTACAGAAAAAACGAGGAACTAAATTTGTGGTCTGTTTTACCTTTTTGACGTCTTTCGGGAGTGAACAATCAACGAAATCATAGTTTTCAAATTACTTCTTCCTGGAGACTTATACATCATCCAAAAGAACTAATTTGTCACAAACGTTAGAAATAAACTCATAATCAATCACAAACGATTTACAAACGAAATACACTAAGGAAAATTAAAAATAATCATGTTTTGTTATTCCTTCCGGCTAGCTTCATGTATACCGCAGTTCACCAGAGTCCATAACTGCGACGCACAGGTTGGAAGATGGTGGGGGAACGCAGCGAGCTCTCTGCTAATCGCTTTCCACTTCGTTTGGGAGTATCGCCAATCAGGGCGAAGATGCGCACTGGAGAAGCGCGAAGAACGAAAACTGGTCTTTTCGCAGTTATGGACTCTGGTGAACTGCGGTGTAGATGTAGACCTATACCCTATACCACCCTATACTCTCACCTGGGGGTATCTAGAACCCGAAAAATCTTGATCCCTTGAAGAACAAAAGCATGTCTAGCTTTGTTGTATCTCTAGTCACTGCTTAAAGATACAGTTAATCAACAAATATCATTGACGGTTTTTATTACGCATGAAGTTTATTTCGTTGTTAAAGAGCAACGACTTGTTTTAATATTGTACCTATTACATTCTAAGGACAATGTCTTATCAATTGTACCGAAATACAACGTTAGGTAATACGTTACAAGAGAGTCTTGATGAATTAATTCAGGTACGCATATAAAAATATGCAATATTGAGGTTAAAACTCTCAGTTCATACTTATTTTTTGTATAAATATTAACATTATTAATGCCATAATCTGGTCATGATGTAAAATTTATAAAGGAGTTAAGGAGATCTGTTAAACTTTTAGTATATTTACGCATAATATATATCGTGCGCAAAAATAAAAATATATAAACTTATTTTAAATCCATATTTCTTTGTTAATTATTATTATGTCGTAATACAATGTTACAGTATGGACAAATCACACCACAATTAGCGCTTAAGGTATTATTGCAATTTGACAAGGCAATTAATCAAGCACTTGCAACTAGAGTAAAATCAAGACTTACATTTAAGGTAATTTTCCATAATTATATGTAGTTGATAATACTTCATTTGTAATCTTCAATTGTATATTATTTTCAGGCTGGTAAATTAAATACATACAGATTTTGTGATAATGTATGGACATTTATGTTGAATGATGTTGAATTTCGTGAAGTTCAAGAAGTTGCAATTGTAGATAAAGTAAAAATTGTTGCCTGTGATGGAAAAAGTAAGTAAAAAGTAAGTGTGGTCAAAAGGAATATGATGATAACTTTTATATTGTTACAGCATTGGATGCAGATACAACAACAAAGCGATAACATCACTTTCTTATACAAGTGAATATACAGCTATTATTATATCACAAGTGGAAAAAAAAGTACTAGCCATACAAAATTTAATAAGAGATAGTAATTTAAGTAAAATACATGTACATGTTTAATATAGGTATACAGTTCTGATTCATTTTCCAACATCAATTGAATTTTATTATACATATAACAACTGTAATCATGACACTATATTGAAAGTAGAAACATACAAATTAATTGCTTTTTTATCATATCATAATTTAGCACTAGCTTTATTTTTATAATATATTTGAAAATGAATAGATTTTACACGTTATACCATATCTACTATAACTTACTCTTAACAAGTATGAAAATATATAATTATAATCGTTCTATGTGGTCCAATATGTTCCAAAGATGTAAATAATTCTTCGAACGAGACTGTAAGATTTATTAGGACTTATTAAGCTGTTTATGTAAGTGATATAAGGTGGCATTAAGATTATATAACAAAATAATTAATTGTGGTATATTTTATATTAATAACATTCTTTTACTACTTATAATAATTTATTCATAAGTAAATACAGTAAGTTTATAATAAGAAGTAATGTACCTATACTTGTTACCATTAATATGATAGTCTGTCTAATATTTTTATTGTGCGGTGTGAAATTTAATAAATAAAGTAGAAGTATATTTATAATATATTGCCCATCCAAAAAGAAACAAGGCACAATATTAATAACTGCTAACCCTGCAGAAAAGACTGTTATATATTTGCAAAGCAGTGCTAAAGCTTCCGGTAATTTCGGATTTAAAAATGAATATTTTGGTACCCAATCAGATACATCAACTGTTCTATAAATATCTGCTGGGTGTCCTAAATATAAAACATCCATTCCTTCTCTTCTTTTTATTTGTACAATCTATAATAGAAATTAATAACTATTACCTGAATAATGTTTCGCATTATCGATTATTAATTTCATTACCTTGGTAGCATTATCGAGAGAAGGTTTTAAACAATGTGTATCTTGAAACAGACATTCATGACTAGCATGACAAAAGTACTGTGACTGGTTAATCATAATTCTTGCTGGAAGGCAAGAATGTGGAGGTAAATGCAAAGGAGCAGCTTGTGGTCCCTCAATATATTCGAAGCATAAGTTTCCACTAATTTCACTATCTGTGGTACAACAATTTGTAACACCATTAGTTTTCTGTCTAGCTGGAACTGATTCGTCATATTCCTGAAATAATGATATTTAAATATTATTCCTTTTACTGCCAACCCTAAATACGTGGTATGTGCAAAAACTGCCGAATTGATCCGCGGACCCGTTGGAAGTAAAATATTTATATTAATATCTAAAAAAAAAAAGGTAATATACAAAAGGAAAGTTACCTGAATAAATGACTGCTTAACACAATATCCAAGAGCAGGCTGATTTACCGTATTTAGTATACAATCATACCAGTCTTCAGTATACTTTATGGGGCAATCATTTAACTCATATATTATGTCCTGTTCAAGAAGTCCTGCTTGACCTAGTACAGGTGAATTCTATAAACGTAAATTTTTATAATAAAAGGAACTTACCATCTTTAGTAGAAAATTATTTTGTCTACATTTATTAATTGAATAATTCATTTGTATTTAAAAAGTGAATTAATAAAATAGCAAAAATAACATCACTTCTGCTTACAGGTAAAATAGTCTTTACATAAATTCCATTTCCAACTGTATAAAATGGTGCCCACAACCATGTGGAAAGCATAAGGACAGTTGCAGCTAATGTAGCAAGTACTATGTTATGCCAAATTCCTGCACAAGTTACTCTTAATTGATTCTTTAATGGTAATGAAGCAAGCTGTTCACTGCTTATGTGTACATAAGCTATGGGTATTGTGAAAGCAATTAATATTCCTAAGCCAAATAATTGAACATCTTCTCTTGCTGCAGCTAATGCATGACCTAGCTCATGCATAATACTGCAAACTGCTAATGTAATGACATAATACCCAAGTTCATTGAAGGGCACATCTACTCCAGGCAACTGCAAAATGTATAAAAAGTTATTTTGTAAATACACTAAGTATTTAAAAGTTACATTAACATAAATTTACCATTGGTTCCAATAAAGGTTCAGAATTGCTATTATCAAGAGATGGCCCATTACTCCATATATTGAATGTCATCCTTAAGATTGCAATAGTTGCAAGAGGCAACAGAATGATGCTAACAATCACTCCTGCATTAAACCAAGCAGTCCAAAATTTGGAACGGTCCATTCCCCATTTAATTATCTTACGGTTAAATGCTGTAGTGAACCATTTTATTCTTAACACCTGAACCTCCAGCCCAGTATTTTTTAAAAAATATAGATATGGATAATGTGAGCATGTCTGTAAAATAAATAAATATTATTTGTTGATTATGTATTAAGCTAGATGTTTTATCAATAAAATCATATTAAACATTAAATTGTAAGTATATGTTAATGTTTTAAAAGGTAAACAATGGAGTTACTATATCTGATATTATAAAATTGTATCTTTATATTTGAAACAAGTATTTTTTTTGAATTATATGTACCTTAAAAATTGTATCAAAGAAAAATAATGAACAATGGATAAGACCTATTGCAATTAACACATTTAAAGCTTCCATTTTCTAACACCTTTTTTTATTTTCTATGAGATTATGTTTCATATTACATAGTGCATGGGTTAATTTATTTGCTACAGGTATGCATAGAACTTGAACAAAGTTATCTGATTTTCCGATCAGTTGTATAGATAATATCAGAGAGAGTAAAATGTGACTTGCTGACGGCTATATTCCCTAGAAAATATTGTAATTTCTATTTCAATAAAGATATTTATTTAAGTAGTCGATTTAGAAACATTACTTTATAAATAACGTTAATAAAATTTTATTTCGTTCTACAAAAGTAAAATAATTCTTATAATATGCAAAGTTACTAATGTTTCTTCTAAATACGTTGGTTGAACAAATATCTATTTCTGTGAATTAATAGATTAAAACAGCTCCTTTAACTAACAAATATTTATTTCCTCCTCATTGTTTTCATTTATATTTTGCTTCGTATGTTATTATCATCTTGTAGGTAAACAATTTTTAATGTTATATTCGTGGGGAATTCAATATAGGAATAGTATACATATAATTGAATAGTGTTGGCTTATCGTTAGTATAACTGCATCGGAATGTACAGGAACACACACCTAATTTCAATTATGTGTGATTCTTATCACTTTGTTTATAACTTGATGCATTGTTAAATTATTAGGCATGATATATTATATTTGATATATAATTTGTAAATTTGATTTGTGTACAATTGAAAATTAAGTTATATCAACATGTCTTTAAGTATTGAAAAGCAAATTGAATTATTATTAGCTGGTCAACCTTTAGAAATTGATGGCAAGCATGAAACTAACCGTGCTGTACAAAATGAAATAATAGGTAAATCTGAATTTTATATAAATAAATATTAACAATTTATGAATATAATATACTCACATATATTTTGCAATTAAAAAATTGGTAGGCAATTATCTATTGCATGCTAATATTAAAGGTTCAAATGAATAATTAACAAAATATGTTACATATTATATCATATTTAATTAATATTAGTTTTGATTTCATAAGCTTTTCTTTAAGCTAATCATACTTTGTTTTGTATAATTATAATCTGTCTTAAAGAAATGTATGCATTATAGGAACAAAAGGAACTGTTAATAACTATGTCCCAATTTGCCAAAAAACTGTGACATATATTGTCGCTGCTGTTATCATAAATAATCAGGAAGAAGTATTGATGATTCAAGAAGCAAAGTCTTCTTGCCATGGGAAATGGTATTTACCAGCTGGTAGAGTTGATCCCAATGAAACTTTATTAAATGCTATTAAAAGAGAAGTTTTAGAAGAAACAGGCCTTATATTTCAACCAGAAACATTGATATTAGTAGAGTGCGCAAGTGGTTCGTGGTTTAGATTCGTATTTAATGGTAAAATAACTGCTGGTAACTTGAAAACATTAGAGCAAGCGAATGAAGAATCATTGCAAGCAAGTTGGGTGCATAATATAAATGATCTACCATTGAGATCACACGACATTGTTTCTTTGATAGAAAGAGGCAAAAGTTATGTCATGAATAAAGATATTTCACAACATCCATATTTAACACCAGTCAGTAGGCCACTGAATAAACTATTACTGCGACTTACAATCACATCAAAGAAAAGAGCAACGTAAGTAAAATGAAAAATACATTATCTAAATTTTACATCATATAATAATTTTGTTTATTTTTATAAATATATCATTGCTTATGCTTGATTTCTCTGTAGTATTTGCACTTTCAGTACAAGGTCACTGGTGGTAGTTTTCATAACACAACAACAGCAATCTGATTATGACTGTGAATGTGGATGAGGGCTTTAGATTGGAGTGGAATAGGTACACATTTATGCACATGTGCTTGTACATACACATTTGTAACAATAATGTTACTCTCATACTGTTTCATCCTTTTTCAGACTCGTGCTACTAATCATTTGTATTTGTATTAAGAATAAATTATGACCATTAATTTTGTAACTGAATTAGTCTATTATGCAGTAATATCTTGCACAATCATAACATAATTTAATTTATAAATTATATTTTGTTGTAATTATAAATTGAACTAATCACCTAACTATACATAAAATTGTATGTAAAATTTACATAATACATTATATTATTTTTACATACTTTATCAACAGGAATAAATTACATGTTCTTGTATCGGATACAACACCGTATTGTTTACCGGTCTGTGAAATTAATCCGAATCGCAGTCTTCTTTCTACTTTACATAGTTTTATGGAAGTAAGTTCATATTTTAAATGTATGTATACACTATATTTATTTCATCATATGGCAGTACTATACTTCATTTTTTCATAAATTGTTCAGGAACTGTTTGGAAATGAAGTTGCACAACATAAACCGCATGGTATACTCTCTGTAGAGTTCAGTGGGGGTCAAGGAGGAGATGGACTATGTTTAACAATATTAGTATCGTTCAAATTGCCGGTAGAAGATGTACTTGCTATTGGAAAATATGTTTGGTATGAATTACCTGAAAATTTAGCTACAAGTATTACTTATCGTTTACCGCGAAACATGACTGTACCTTTAAACGTAATACGATAATCTGATGCAATATTTTCATATAACATGCATTCAAAATTTAAAATATTAAATATTTCATTAATTTTCGATTTACCTGTAAAATTAAAACTTATTTAAAATTCATGCATGATGTAAATGAAATATCAGAATTACTTAAAATTTAAAAACAATTTGAAATCTACACGATAAAAATCCTTAATTACTATATTATATTAAAGCACAAATTAAAATGGAATGATTAATATACACATATACATTCCAAGCACAGTTGTAACACATCATTACATTAACCAGGTATATGTATACACCTATTATTAACAATACCTAACAATATTAGAGAAATATTTATGATCATAAATTTATGTTTATCCTAGTCTATACCAATGACTTTTTTTAACAAGAATAAATATATAATTTGTATCTCCCATAAAAATTTATAATATAATACGAGACTTTAATCATCTATATAAATCTTTATATTGTTAAATAAAAGCTGCTAGTGTTTCCGAGTAGCATTACAATTATTTAAAGCTCTCTTTATTTCGAGATTATAGATGCACAGAAAAATTTGTGTATGATTTTTGTACTTTTATCTTTATATGTTATAAAACAAAAGAATTTTGTTATTATTATTTACATTCCAAATATCTGATGGATCATATATTTAATTATTTGTCGAGCATAAAATAAAAACGCACACACATATTCTGTATCAAGCAAAGTAGACTTCTCCAAGAAAAATGCCGTTATAGGTAAAGCAAAAATTCTTAAAATCATCTTAATATTTACGATATTACTATTAAAAATGATTTAAAAACAAAATAATATATTTTTTAATTATTAAATATAAAATTTATTATATAATTAGAAGTAAAATCAATTCAAATTCTTCCCCGTAAACGTTTATGCGCAAGTGGTGGGAGGACATAAACCTATACATGTATACATATGTATAGGGCTATCGACTCTGGGAAAGCCTACTATACTCGGTACTGTACATGCAGTAATATATATTATATATAAAGATGTAATATTCCATAAATTTGATGTATTATTACATTTGTGGAATAATATGTATTGTAAATATACATCATATAATGAGTATGTATTACAATATATTCTTAAATGATGTATGATAGAAAATGATTTAGTATTTTTTGAATACTAAATGCTTTTAAAGCTTTCAGGAGTATTTATATAGATTGATTTTGTAATGAATAAAGTATTTATTAACAATGTATAATTAAAGCAGTTGTTATATCTTCTACAATGAATAAAACACTTCACTAAGTCAGTGCTTCATAGAAATTTATTTTATATTTAATTGGAGAGGATTGGATATGTCCAGAATATAGATATGAAAATTTTAATATTAATATTACGTTATTCTACAATTTAAAATATCACAGAAATATACATAAACATTTTTATAAAATCTCTACATATATTTTTGGCTTACTCTATAAATAGCAGTTTAATGAAAAAAACGATTTTTTATACAGAACGAGCCTATACATACGTAATGTATAAAAAAAGTTGTTTATATGTTACTCTATAATAAAAGTTACAAGTTGTAATTTATACTGTTGTATTAATAAATGCTAAAATTTGTTATTTCAGAAAATGATTTAATTCAGGTTAATACCTTCCTGAAATGAAAATGATTATTGAGAAATTTTTATTTTTACAATATATTTTTATCATAAGTTGTATTAGCATTAAGGTATTTCAATATTTACTTAATACATATTTAAGTTAATGTTGGTGTTAATATACCAAGTGTACTCATTTCATTATTACTTTCATTTTTTATAGGAACAATATTGTTTGTACTAGACATTATATTAGTATCAGTGGTCTGAGTCAATGATAAGTTATCAAATGAATTTAAAGGGGTTGTATTATTAAGATTGACTGTAGTATAAATTGCTTGTTTCTCATTATTTTCACACTGATTAACACAAGTGCTGATATTTATAGTATGTTTTTTCATATGAGTTGTTAAATTTCCACTGTGATAAAAATCTTTTCCACAAACTTTACACTGAAATGGTTTAATACCAGAATGTATCCTTTCATGTATTGATAAATTTCCACTATGTCTAAATTCTTTACCACATACACTACATTTATAAGGTTTCACACCTGAATGAGTTCTTAAATGTGTTGACAAATTTCCACTGTGACTAAACATTTTTCCACATATTTGACAACCATAAGGTCTTTCACCAGAATGTGTTCTCATATGAATAGCTAAATTTCCACTATGAGTAAAACATTTTTCACATTGATTGCATTTATAAGGCCTTTCTCCATTGTGGGTCCTCATGTGTATAAATAAATTACTCTTATGTCCAAATTCTTTGAAACATATTTCACATTGACATTTAAATCTTTTTTGCGTATTTGTTTCTAAAGAATTTTTAGGTGGTCTTCCAGAACGGTTAGGTTTTATTGATAATATAGGCTCTGAAGTAGTTAATATTTGATTTGTATGTTTTGTTTGTTGTATACTTTGAGAAAACTGAGATTGTTGTTCTTTCTGAATCATATCCATATAGGATTGTTGACTCATTTGATTGTGATTTGAACTTCTTTCCTGGTTAATTTGGAATAATGTACCATTTTGTATACAATCTTTCATATGTGTTAATGAACCACCTTCCTAAAATATTTAATATGTACAGTTAGTCTCCAAATGTTATTATGAATTTTATTGATCAAACAAAATATATAATTATATTATTTACATCTTTAAACACAATTTCATATATTTATAAATCTTTATATTTAGATATTTATAATATGCATTAAAAGTAATAAAACCCACTTCTGTTTGAAATAAACTTTGTTGGCCATAAATTTCTGTTTTTGGTCTTATTTCATTTGGTGTATGATCCCAAAATAATGGTAATTGATTATACTTATAATCTGCATCTTCATCAGTGAATGTTGGATATTTGGAAATGTTTGAACCAATATTCCTTCCATTATAATTAATATCTTCTATTTCTATACACTCGTGTTTTATTTGTATAGGATTAAACATCTGGAAAATTTAAAGGAATAACAACAATGATTAATTAATAATTTATTTTCTCTGCATTCTTTATGATAAGTAGGTTGATCAATAAAACATTAATTAAACCGGTTCTAGCTTATGAAGTTAAAATGATTAAGAAGATCACAAGAAATCTTTTAAGAAAATACGTAAGTTGTGAAAAAGAAGTATGAGATTAATGATTGCATATGTAAAATCTATATAAAATGCACATACATTTTTAAAAAGATATATTAAAATCAATAGCCACTTTGCTACTATCTGCAATCATTCATAATTTAATCAGAACATCAATTCTGAAACAAATAACATAACTAATACACACTGTCACTTTACGACAATTATTCATTATGTAAGTGTGTAAACAAACGATTGCTTGTAAACATTCTTTTAAATAACATTGGATATATTAAATAACGGTTTTTTATATTAAAATATCCAATTTCTTTCATAAATGACAATTTTTTATATAGCTAACAGTGCCATCTATGGAAACTTATATAGTTTTCTTATTGAAAGCTAATATGGATAATTTAGGGAAAAGTTTGTTTAGAATATAAGAAATGCTATGTGAAATATGTTAATCATTTTATTATTTTGAAATTTTCGTTTAAATAAAACAATAAATCATTTTATATAACACGACATGGGAGTAGAGTAATTCCACTATAGGAATATCAAAAGTAATTTGAAATTAATTAATTATATTAGTTTGAATGCATAAAGTTAACAATATTTGTTAACAATATTTGTTAACTTTAGCAAAGATTACAATCTAAAAATATACATATTTATCAATTTTAAACATAGAGTGCGCTATATCGCTATCAAATTATCATTTATCAGTACATTTAACTTTCGTAAATATTATGAGAAAAGAAGTCTGTCCATGTAATTTTATCGGTGTATCAATCAAAAACATTATCAATTAATGTCTAAGGTGAAGATTTATTGGTTAAGATAATTTTGACACACTTTTTTCAGATCAAAACCTTTAATATTTAATGTTACTAGGTGCAAGTAGTATTATATACAGGCATTTGAAAGTGCAAATGCACTAAGCAATTTTATAAAAATCAGAATGTGATATATGTATATATTCATTGCCATAATACTTATGTTGTCCCCAAATTCATTTACTGTTAATTTGAAAAGGTGATTTACTGGGTCATAGGTGTATGAAAGCAATAATAAAACTGTATTATTTGGTAAAAAATAACTGAAATGTAAAGTTATGCACTATGCCTGGTGGAAGACGTAATGCTGCTAGTAGAAACGGACAATCTAAATCCCAGGCTGGATTTTCTCAGTCTACAAACATTGGCATACGGAGTAACAGTGGAGAAAGAACAGCTGGAAGTGGAGGAGATGATAAAAAATTAGAGGAACTTTATGGAATGAAGACATTGGTACCAAAACATGTACCTGTACCTGTTGTACCTGTGGATGGTCACTTAACATTTGAAGCATTATCTTTGGTTGTATCAATTGTTGCAGCTTCATTACAAATGCTTAATTTGTATAGAACTGTATGGTGGTTACCTCATTCTTACAATAATTATAGCATGGTATATAGTTTAAGATACTTCATATCAGTTTATCAATTATTATATGAACATTCACCAGTAAATTTCTTATTTTTTCAGAACTTTTATTTAATTGATCCCTATCTACTGATATTTATTGTAACTATGGTTGCAAGACAATTTGTTTATTCCCTATTACGAAGATTTATCGATATTTCATCTCCAGCTCGTTGGTTGTCTACTGCTCAAAAAATTATGAGGTATGTTTTATGATTTATTAAATAAGTTATATAAACATTGTTTAGGCTGTATTCTATTATTTTTTAGAATAAGTTTATTAATCACTGTGATGAGTATATTGTGCTGGTGCCTCTATCATATGGCTGAAAGGCACAATTCAATGAAGATCTTCTACTTATGCTATCCGTTTGTATCTTTTTATTGAAGTACATATACATATATATATATATATATATATATATATATATATATATAAGTAAACATTGAAGCAGCATTTATTATGTATACCTTGTTTCAGAAGTTTATCTGTGTATTTTGTAATGTTTGGCGTAAGTGCAACACCTTTCTTTGATATATCAATAACACCTGTATACAGTAAAGATGATAAGAAGACTAAGCTTGCAATGGGTATGCAAGTTTTGCTCACACTAACAGAAGACTGTTATTGTATTTAAAAATTGTTACAATTATAGCTGTTAAAATGTAATTTAAATCTTATTTTTATAGACAAGCCTTTACATAATTGTTCTCTGAATGCATCAGCAATTAGAGCAGAAGTTTCAACTTTAAGATCTGATTTTAATCGCCGTTTGAAACGAGCTTTATTTGCATCTTCTAGCAGTGCTTATGTATGTGGCATTGCACCTATAATATTTGTACCTCAATATTTACATTTTAATGTTTCCTGGGTTGTACAACATGTTATTATGTTTTGGCTTGGAAGAATAAGTGCTCACTTTTCTCAAGCTTACTCAGTTAGGTATGTACTTGTAATTATGCATGAGTACCTTTTTAACATTAGTATAGTTTAATGTTGTAGGACTATTGTTATTACTGTAAAATGTGAGCGTTGTATTGAAAAAAATTCATTTCCAGAAATTTGATGAATACCCTACTTATTTAGGTATTGCGACGTTTTACACAGAGCAGCGCTGCATTTAGGTCGATGGGTTAAAATTGAAAATCGTAATAGTCATACCTATGCACAAGCATGGAATGATTCGATTTTGTGGCCTCATGGTTCAATTGTGAGACACAATAAAGAAATTTATCGATCAGAAGGTTTGTGTACTGTAGCGGAGCCGGGAAATTCAAATCACTACAGATTTTATGTACGTTATTAAATGAGTGACTTATTGTGTTATAAATCATGATTACATTGTAAGAACGTATAATTTATTTTATCCAGGCATTATTTAGTAATCCCACAATGCTGCTATGTTCGTTACTGGGCCTGCAGCTTGTCCTTGTGTGTTTGCAATTGTTAATTTTAATACGTACAACTGACTGGTACCAAATATTGTCAATGACATTACTTCTTATGATCAATTACTATACTTTATTTAAAGTAACTAGAGATTACCTTATTTGTTGGAAAGTATACCACGCCGAGCAAATAATACAAGAAAAGTCTCAAATGACTGTAAACTCTGCTATTCAATAAATAATGAATAAAAAAAAGAAAGATATCTAATGTGTTTACTCTTTTACATGTACCTACCAAATTCCACTTTCGAAAATTTGATTGGAGTTGTGTGATTTATTATACATCAATCGAAGCGTTTTTTTATTCTTTACAAAAAAGTATAAAGACACTTGGATCGAAAATTCATTAGTTCAAAAGATATCTTTGGGAGATGCCGCTGGTCTCTCTTTCTTTATCCCTAAGATATCTTTTGAACTAATAAATTTTCGATCCAAGTGCCTTAATATTTTTTTGAAGGGAATAAAAAGACGCTTCGATCGATGTACAGAAAGGCATATAGTCCCATTTAAAAAAATAAACATGATTGAAATCTTTGAAACGTCTTCACTTTCGGTGCTGACCCGTGCATCGGTTGATGCTCCATTCGATACCATTAAATTTTGTCTCGTGAAATTTTTCTTGATCTTCTACGATTTGAAAAATATAAGTTGATCCAGTTTCATAGAACATCCTGTATAGTTTTATCTAACTTTTTTCTATTCCTTTTTTTTATTTATGTATTTGCAATCAGAATACAAATTCTATAAATTAATTTGCTGACTTGGGCACCGATTGCAGTACCAATTATGTCGTAGTGAACACTTGTCTGTTGGCCATTCTAACTTTATAAAGTATGAAATCATTCACTTGACAGATATCATCGTAAACAGGGAGTATATGAAACAACTATATTCAGCTTTAAAAACCTTCTAATGGAAAAGTTAGTGTACTTAAATTCAAGAAAAATCAATAAAAATATAATCTTTGGATTGTAGCATTGATTTTCGAATTTTTTCGACGAACATGTGTCTTGCGTTTGTAAATATCTGACAGTATTTTAATTTGAGATTAAGGGTACACATTTTTGACTTACAAAAATTTAATTTATCCCATGTAACAATATTTTTCATAAACATGCGAAATTTTAACGATTCTATAATTGATATCCGTATGAAAATTCTTTCATGAAGTAATTAAAATAAATATGGAGTCAGATAATGACGTATTTTGACCATATTTTTGAAAATTACATATTATGAAAGCTCAAAATTGTGACAATATTTTACTTTATCTTCTAACAATATCTTAAGATATTACGTTTAATAATATTATGTTTTATGTGGATATGCATATGCACATTCTAAGAACAATGCATCTATTTTTACGGATGAAGTAGTAAGGAAAACATAAAACAACGTGTCGTTGCATTTAATTGCGTTACAATTAATTGGTACTAATAAATTTAGAAACTATTATTTTTATTAATAATTCTTACGAAAAAAAAGGAGTATCAAAAATTACAGTTTTGCAGCCAGAGATTCATTGAATTAATTTGATGGTCTAGAGTTATAACAATTAAAATGTCTATTTCGCAATTTAAAAAATATGCTCTTATGTGTATTCAACTGCAAACACATATGATTGAAACAACACGATGCATCGAAAAATATAATGAAAGTTATCAGTGAAATAACAAGACATGGTTTACAATTTCCTCATGATCGGTTGTTAAGCAAAGAAATGTCCAAACAATCGTAGTGTTATATATAGGAAGAAAATTAAAATGCAACGCAGTGCCGTTTATATTTGTTACAGTAATGAATATCATTCAGAGGACCATCTTATGTGGCGTGCTTATATCTTTCGGTGTGATATGATTTCCTCACAAAAATTTATTATCTAATCTGCTTGTACAGATAACGAAAGTTTCGCAATAAAAATATGAACAATTGGTGTGCTTTTGTCTAACGCTTGAACAAAATCAATTGAATTATTATTTTTTCTATTTTTCTTTTTGTTCACAAGTGTGAAACAATATACATTATTTTACCTTTACATGACATACGATGATAATGAATGAAACACCAATTTACGTTAACATTTACTCCATTATTCTTATCTAATAACTTTCGGAAAAAGAAACAATGTAGTTTGCAAAGTACAGTTTAATTATAAATATCTTTATTCAGTTACTTACGAACGTTACTTACTTTAGTTACAGTTAAACAAGGGTCATGTAACGAAGACATAGTGGCTGGCTATGTCCCTGGACTTAGTGGCATGCCTTCCATTAACAGGACAAATTGTCGGGTTGGTGAACTTTTGAAGGATCCTTCCCTATCAACTGCCCCCGATTGTGCTCGTACTTGTCATGTTGGGGATAAACCAAGAATATGTTATTACAAGTTTGTGCTTGAGCGTTACCCTACTAACGGACAGTAAGTATACTCGGGACAATTGCAAATTCAGATGTTCCAACGTGAATCCCTGATCCCGAATTCTGCAAATGTCGAATGGTTTGTTAAGTATTACTCTGGTTTACACAAGAAATTTTCTTCACTTTTTTAGAGCATGCAGTCTCTGTACCCCTAATATGACCAATACGATTTGCCCTAATTGCCAGTGTGTACGTGCCGATGGGGTGCCACGTATGGCTTTAACTGTGAACCGAATGATACCAGGACCATCTATACAACTTTGTCTACACGATTATGTGGTCATCGATGTTCAGAATAAAATCGAAGGAGAGGGAGTTACGATTCACTGGCATGGGTTGTACCAGAAAAACTTTCAATATTGCGACGGTGTACCTCAAGTAACTCAATGCCCGATTTCAGCCGGTTCCAATTTTAGGTAAATCTTATCTTACTAGAGAGAGACTTAGGCACTCCCAATTTGAAAACATTTTTTTGGAATTCTATACTTCCCTTGGTGTCAATTGCTGCATATTTTTATCCTTTACAAAAATTATTAAGGTACCCGTGTCGAAAATTGAACAATTAAAAAGACATCTTATTAGGGAGGGACCGTGAGTCTCCTTCTAGTAAGATATCTTTTTAATTAGTGAATTTTCGATCCAGTTACTTTAATACTTTTTTGCAGAGAATTAAAAAACGCTTCAATTGATGTATAACAAAGCATATAATTCTATAAAAATAGATAAAGATGACCTTGAAATCTTTGAGACATTTCCACTTCCGGTGTCGAAACATGCATCATGTAGTACTCCATTTGACGTCATTTATTTGTCTATATTCTATTATTTTAAAGCCATAGCTTGCCAGTTGCACGAGATACCTAGTATATTGAAAAATTGTAATATACATTTGATAGAATATTGTATACTGAATAGTTGTACTCTTCCTCAGATACCAGTTTCGGGTACAAAACAGTGGCACGCATTATTGGCACGCTCATTCGGGGGTACACAAGTTGGACGGTGTTTTTGGTAGCTTCATCGTGCGAGATTCAATAGAACGAGATCCTCACAAGCATCTGTTTGATTTTGATTTAGCGAATCATGTGGTGGTAATTAACGATTGGATGCACGAATCAGGTACCGAACGATATCCAGGTCGTGAAACTGGTGTCACTAGTCAAGCTCCTGATACATTTTTGATTAATGGAAATGGATTGCCTCTGGTAAATATATTTAGTTTAAAACACGTATAATATGTATCTTTCAAAGAAACAAAAAGCAGCAATTTTGTTGCTTGATTCTCTAAATCACTCTCAATCATTAAAATTTTATTTATGTTGTAGAATGCTAATTATACCGGGGATTTTACTGCGGAGAATTCTACTTTCACAGTTATAACTGTAGAAGCAAATAAGCGTTATCGTTTCCGTTTAGTCAACTCTTTTTGTACCTTGTGTCCTAGCCAATTGATAATCGAGGATCACAATGTGACTGCCATCGCGACAGATGGACAGAATAATGAACCTGTTGTTGTAGACTCCATTATATCATTGCCAGGTGAAATATCTATGAATTATTTAAGTAAAATTACTATAAAAATTATATGTTTTGTTCTTCTGCAGGTGAAAGATACGATTTTATCTTACATACTGACAAAAAACCTGGCACTTATTGGATACAACTTCGTGGATTGAATCTATGTAAGCCCCGTGGTATATACCAGTTAGCCAAATTGCAATACCTAGATGCGCCTGTAGAGCCGAAAACTCCTCCACCTACGTACAGTAGTCTTCCCTCAGGAGTAGTATGTTTTTCTTCATTTCTGTTGTCACTTAAATTCATAATTTAATATGAGTGTGGCATCCTCTAGAATTTGTTATCTTTTAAGATACATTGAAATAATTTGTTGTAAATGAATTTGTTGTTACAACAGATTTTGAATCCTGTGGATGTCTGTTGCAACATATCGACTCCTAATCTGCTATGTATCAGTAATTTAACACATGCCGAGGGGGTTGATCATGGTATCGTGAAAAAGGTACCAGACTTCAAATTTTACATGCCTATAGGTTTCCGTAATATTCCAGCCGAGGTATTTTATCGGCCTAACAAGTATGATGTATTTTTAGGTGAGACATACCTTTAATACTCTCATAATTTATACTGCTCCAAAAATTGGATATCATATTTTTTCGTTATTAAACTGATATTCTCTTTTCTCAATGTTCATACAGTGCCAATACCAGGTAATACTTTAGAGGCATACATGGACAATATACAATACAGTTCTGCACCCTCGCCGCCGCTTTCGCAGTATAAGGATAATCCTCCGAATCAATTTTGTAATAGTCGAGGTTTGCCGGGTCATTGTAACGTCAATTGTACGTGCACGCACTTGTTGAAAATACCATTGAATGCTATCGTGGAAATAATATTAGTTGACAGATGTGAGTAATCAAATGTACCGGAACATAATTAAAGTTTTAGGATCTAAGACACATTAACTCTTTCATTGCTGGAGAGGCATATTTTTTGATAAATAATACAATAATTATTCACTGTATAAAAAGAAAGATGAACATTTATCAAGCTTTTATAAAATGGTTGATAGTAATGAAAGTGTTAAGGATATGGGTAGCTATTAATTATCAAATTTATCATTACTGTAATGCCATTTAAAAATTTTTTGTTGTAGCTGGTGCACCAGCTCTGAATCACCCCTTCCACTTGCATGGTCACTCGTTTAGAGTTCTAAGTATGGGCCAACCATTAGGTCCTACCTCAAATCCTCCACAACCAATAACTATAGAATATGTAAAACAGCTTGAAGAAGAGACCAATTTGGAGAGAAAGTTTGATATCCCTGCTGGTAAAGATACTCTTACTCTACCAAATAATGGATTCGCTGTAATCAGATTTCGTGCGAATAATCCAGGTAAAAATAATAACGAAGTCCTTTTGGATTTATATGAAAATTCTATTGTTAGATGTAAGAAGGTTCTTGTTATAATTTTTCTTTTTCTTCTTGTTATTAAGGGTTCTGGATGTTCCACTGTCATTTTATCTATCACCAAGATGCCGGTATGCAGATGATTTTTCAAGTTGGGAAATTCAGTGACTTACCACCGGTACCAAAGAATTTTCCGCGATGCGGCAATTTTAAATTGCCCATTACGCCTAATTTCGACAAATGTCAAGAAGGTAGCTGTGAGGAAGAAGAGGAGGGGCAAGAAAAGGAGGAAAAGGAAAAATGGGGGACGAAAGAAGTTAAGAAAGAAGGAGAAGATGAAACGGAAGAGAAAGAATGGGAAAGCAAAGAAGAGAGGAAGGATTGGGGGGGAAAGAAAAAAAAAAGAGAATGGCCAAATAAAGATGAAAAGAAAGAATGGGAAGATAAAGAAGAAAAGAAAGAAGGGGGAGACCAAACAGAAAAGATAAAATCGGAAGACAAAGAAGAGAAGAAGGAATTGGGAGGAAAAGAGGAAAAGAAGGAATGGGAAGATAAAGACAAAAAGAAAGGATGGGAAGACAAAGAAGAGAAGAAGGAATTGGGAGTAAAAGAAGAGAAGAAGGAATGGGAAGACAAAGACGAAAAGAAAGAAGGGGAAGTCAAAGAAGAGAAGGAATTGGGAGTAAAAGAAGAGAAGAAGGAATGGGAAGACAAAGACGAAAAGAAAGAAGGGGAAGTCAAAGAAGAGAAGGAATTGGGAGTAAAAGAAGAGAAGAAGGAATGGGAAGATAAAGACGAAATAAAAGAATGGGTAGAGAAAAAAGATAGTAAAGTAAAGACATATAGCGACGAAAATAAATCTAGCCACGAAAGTAGATCTAGCGACGAAAGTAAATCTAGCCACGAAAGTAAATCCAGCGACGGAAGTAGATCTAGCGGCGGAAGTAAATCCAGCGACGGAAGTAAATCTAGCGACGGAAGTAAATCTAGCGACGGAAGTAGTTCTAGCGACGGAAGTAAATCTAGCGACGGAAGTAGTTCTAGCAACGGAAGTAAATCTAGCGACGGAAGTAGTTCTAGCGACGGAAGTAAATCTAGCGACGGAAGTAGTTCTAGCGACGGAAGTAGTTCTAGCGACGGAAGTAAATCCAGCGACGGAAGTAGTTCTAGCGATGGAAGTAGTTCTAGCGACGGAAGTAGATCTAGCGACGGAAGTAGATCTAGCGACGAAAGTAAATCTAGCGACGGAAGTAAAGATAGCGACGATAATGGAAAAAGTGACTAAAGTGATAAAAAGGGGGATAGTGATTAAAAGGAAGAACAAAAGTGTCCGAGTAGTGATAATTTTTTTACGTTCACATTTAAAAAATTTTCATGTCACATTTTTTCACATCTGTTCATTGTTATTTGCAGATAAAATTACACGTTTTCAATGAAAATAATTTCAAGGAAATTGATGGTATTGAGAAAACATTTTTTCTACCGTTGTAATTTATTTGTATTCTGTTAACCTGTATAAATTTCTTTTCTTAAATGGGTGCATATTTTAATTCTTCATTATTCAAGATTATTAAAATCCTGATGATTGTTTTTATTTATTAATATTAGTACGATATTTATTTTATCAAAAGGAATCAGCAATTAAATCACTTCTACGCATATAATGAACATAAAAACAAAGTTTGTATGGAAATGAAAATGAGGTTTAACTTCAATTCTCAAAAGATTGATATTTCTACGATAGCGAATACGAATATGATACAAGTGTTGATATTCCAAGTAACAATAGACTCCACCTATTCAGGTAACCATGATTTATAGCATGTAATGTTATCCAACTACCGTACGGTGATACCCTGGTATGAACATCAGGATAGCCTAATGCGCAGGGGTGACCATAGGAAACAATTCCAATTTGTACACCATTCAAAACCACAGGACTACCGGAATCACCCTGAAGCAAATAAAAATTTGCAAATAGAAAGCTTAGTGTAATGAAAAGTCGGGCCCGGAACTGTAATCTTTCTTTTAATTGCACATGATGATACTTACGAAGCAAGCACCTGTACTTAACGTCGTGTTCGTGCATATGTTATTTTTCGTCACTTCCCAAACCAACGACTCGCACATTGATTGCGACATCACAGATAAGTAAATTTCTTGTAATTTAGATGGAATTGTTAATAACATGTTCTAGGAGAAAAAAAAATGATTAACTTACTACTTTCGTCATCATTTAAAATATAATTTATGTTTAGTTATGTTTAGTTTAGTTTTATTAAATAATTTGTCATATTGTTGCGAAACTAAGGACACAAATTATTGATCAATTAGGCAATTCTTAAAACGACTTACGTTTTTTGTTAGTCTTCCCCACCCAGTCAAAACAACAATTTCACCCGCAGCGACGTAATATGTCTCTGCAAGTGCAATCGGTTGAATTTTGCTGAAGAATATAATTTCTCTGTCCACCTGTATTAAACCGATATCATTTAAGTTCCTGTATTTATTGTAGCCGCTGTGCCAAATTAATGATTCTGCGTTATAAGTAACACCACCCCTTCCTGGGGCATAGAAATTGGTTCCAGCAACAACTTTGATGGATTTCAAGTTTTTGCTGTAATATAATACGGTAAGATTAGCATAGGCTTTTGAAAAGCTTAAGAAATATGCGAAATGTATTTCAAATACATTTAATTTTAAATTACAGAATTCATTGTCAAGAAGTCTGAGATAAGAGTTAGTATTATGCAATTAACTTTGAAAGGAAATACGATCAAATGTATAATGAGCTTTTCCTTTAAATAAAAGACTTACTTATAAATACAATGTGCAGCAGTAAGAATAAAACGACTATTAATAATGGAGCCACCACATGAGGGTGAATAGTTATGAAGTATTGATACTTGATATGGATATTTGCCTTCTAGAGCATCATGGCCACCAACAATTTGCGTGGCTGGAAAACCTAAAAATATTATAATATTAGAGAAATCTAGATAATTTAATAAATTTAGGCGGTAGGAATATTTGCCTTCTTCGATATCATTGCCAGTAACAATCGGTGAAAGTGGAGAAGCTAACAATATTATAATATTAGACAAATTTAGGTAATTTAATAAATTTAGGCGATAGGAATATTTACCTTCCTCGGTATCATTGCCAGCTACAATTTGTGCGTTTGAAGAATCTAAAAATATTTTAATGTTGGAGAAATTTAGATAATTTAATAAATTTAGCCGATAGGAATATTTACCTTCCTCGGCATCATTACCAGCAAAGATTGATGAAGTTGGAGAAACTAAAAATATAAAGTGTATTTGACTTTGGTGGTATTATCAACTTTAAACCAACTGATTATTAATATTTCACGAAACTAATCTTTAATCACTAGTTAGAAAACACTTTACTATTTAAATCCTTTGAGTGATAAGAGTTGCATACTTGAACTTACCGGAGACAATAGAAACCGCGAATAAAAGTATCCCCAAGGTATGCATGACGAAACCAACTGAAATCTTATTCACATTGTTCCACTTCATATTTGCTAATATTGTGGATTAATTGATTCTAAAGAACCGATAAACGTGAGCCTCTCTTATCTGATGTTTTACAAATAATGCAATATCATTTCCGGTAAGTGCCTACATATTATTGTAAATATTAAAATAATAAATTAAAGAATCAAAAATATAATTTAATACTGGCAAAATATTTTATGTTTATTTATGGATCCTTTTTTTTAAAGTAATATACAGGGTGTTCGACAACAGGTGGGCAAAATTGTAAGAGGTGATTCTAGGTATCAAAATAAGATGAAAATCAAGAATAACGAAATAACGTTTGCGGCTTTGTTTTCCAGTAATTAATGTTTAAAGATTCGAATAGAAAGCGCCTGAAACCTGCAATCCGCCCAGCACCGACGACTGAACGTCAGATCAGCAGGGGAAGGAGGCGCTTTTTACTCGAATTTTTAAACGTTAATTACTGGAAAACAAAGCCGCAAACGCTGTTTCGTTATTCTTGATTTTCATCTTATTTTGATCCCTAGAATCACCCCTTAAAATTTTGCCCACCTGTTATCGAACACCCTGTATACCTTGATTCTAAACGTTTTAAAGTATTTTAATTATCTAATGAATGAAAATATTAAGCGATAAAATTAAAGTTTTATAATGATCGCAAATTAACTATTAAATTTTACTCAAATATTTATAGAAAATAGTCTCGAAAATTTATCAGAAAAGGTAGTTTGTAAAAGAATGATTAGATTAAGATCAAGATTGATTCGAAAAATATATAAGAAATGTTTAAATTGGAAGCAGAAAGGTGTATGATCGAGAGGTTCGGTAGAATTCCTTCCGTACTTACATTCAGCTTAATCAAATTTTAGATTTCTATTTCTTTAAACCATACTTCCTATGAATTTAGTAAAGCGATCAATAGGTAACTGTTATAATGTGTATCAATGTTATCTCCCAGATAAATTGATATCTACGTTCGTTTAACTTTTCTTGGTAAAGATTGGGCGGAACAAAGTGTGAAAATATGTTTATTAACATAGGCATTTTAAAAGAACTCTAAGGTGATATGATCAACCCCTTATCTTTATATTTATCTATTTTAACAAATTTCTTGTATATTTAATATAATTAACGCAAGAAAATGTTATTCTGTTCCTTATAATATACATATCTGGTTTTACATTTTTATTGTTCATGTTTTTGGAAATTAATAAAAAATCTCTTATTAATCACTGTATGAGCAGTTAGAAATGTTGTATTATAAGAGTGAAAGCTTTTCATTTCTTTTTATTCCATTTTTCGATAATTTTAACTAGTTTCCGGAAGTTCCTATTTTGATATGTTATCAAAATTTTTGCAATATCTTTTCTATTAGATAAGTATATTGGTATCTTAGTATCGACTAAGCTTTAAAATCGACGGTTTTAAAATCCGATAGTTTAGAACTTTATCTAACTTATTCTAATGATCTTTTTACATTTATCGTATTTCGTAATAAATGAGTGGATAGTTTAAATTATTTAATGGTGTGGGTTAATCTGTCACAGAACATTTGGCGTTATTTGTCACACCACCTGCTTCTATCATGTAAATGGAAAGTTTGTATACCTCTAATTGTCAAATTAAACTACCACATCGTGAACAGATCTCGCTTATATCATGTTATCTTAAATAAGAACCATGTTATACTAATTTTATCGAGAACCGTATGATCTACATTGAAAATTAATTAATCTTATCAATAAAATAATGCAGTGATCTACGAAAACCGAGTTATTGATCATATATAAAGGGAAAATTCGTGTCAAATTTGTGCCAATTCATACAGCACAATGAATTCCATCCAGGAGGCACTTTTATATTCTTTGCTCATTCTTGCCGGTATTGAAACAGTTTGTTTTTATTGAATTACATGTAAAAATAATCGATTGTCTGCAATTAGAAAAATATTTCAGTGAATAAGTTTAAGAAAATGCAATTCTCATAGCAGTGATGTTACAGTAGCAATTTTTATATTATACTTTGCCGAAGTGAAATTAATAAAATCTAATCAATGTTATTTATTAATGTTTATTACACAATTATTTTGTAGTTCGTAGACAGTATACAAAATTATGAATACTATGCATTTTCACTAGTAATATGAAGTTCTAAATATAACAAAAAATTTAGAAAATTAAATAATCATGTTTTTAATCATTTTTATTATAGCCTACCATACTATTATGTCCGTTTTCATCAACTCTAATCTTGAAATTTATTTTTTTTCTTTAATTTTTCATACTGTTCGGTTGGCAGAAAATTTGAGTAAAATGAGAGGAAATGATAATTTCCAAACATTCTGATTCAACTATCAATCAAATCAAATTCATCTATATTTATTGTAATTTTCCTTAAAATATGATATAACACATTCTTTTAATTTTAGTTGTAGGTAAGAATGTAGCTGCTAACATAAAAGCCGGTTATATTCCCGGATTCTGTGGTATGCCAAATATTGACGAGCAAAATTGCATGAACGAAGAACTATTTGCTGATTCCTACTTGTCAAATCCCCTTGAATGTGCTCGTACCTGTCAAGAAGGAGAAACGAGGACATGTTATTACAAATTTGTGCTGGAACGTTACCCCATTAATGGCGTGTAAGTATAATATAAAAATATCGTGATACATGTGTTAACACTGAAAGTGGAGGCGTTTCAAAGATATCAAAATTATCCTTATTTTAAAAATGATATTGTGTACTTTGTTATACATTAATGGAAGTGGTTTCGTACTCTCTACAAAAATGTATTAAGGTCCTGGGGTCGAAAATTGAATAGTTCAAAAAATATTTTAGGAAGAGACCACTCGGCTCTCCATATCTCTCCCTAAAATATCTTTTTAATTACCCAATTTTCAAACGAAGAACTTTAATAATTTTGTGTAGAGAATAACAATATGCAGCGATTGACGTCAAAGGAAGTATAAGATTCCAACAAAATTTTGTCGAATTCGGTGAGCCTAGTGATCTCTTCCTAAGATATCTTTCGAATTATTCAATTTTCGATCCAAGTCCCTTAATATAGTTTCGAAGAGAATAAAAACAATGCTTCGAATGATGTATAACAAAGTACACAATTCCATTCACAAAAATAAAATGAAGATATCTTGAGAAGAATAAGCAGAGTGTCTGTTTAGGATGCTTCGTTTTTAATTTGTAGTCGAAATTTCAGAATTTTGTTAATATTAATTTATCGCTTTCAGAGCATGCAGTCTTTGCACGCCTAACATCACTAACACCCTTTGCGCCAATTGCCAATGTATCCTTGGTGATGGAGTCGAGCGTATGGCTTTAACCGTGAACAGAATGATACCAGGTCCAAGCGTTCAAGTTTGTCAAGGAGATTACGTGGTCGTTGACGTTTTGAATAATATCAATTCAGAAGCAGTGACGATCCATTGGCATGGAATACAGCAACAGGGTTCTCCACACCAGGATGGTGTTCCAAATCTAACTCAGTGCCCGATCATATACAAAAATGCATACAGGTAAGAAATACTGACAATGAATGTATAGATTTAGATCTGGTAAATATATTTCATGAAGATTCATTACAAAGATTCTAATGCCAAAAAATATATCCTTTACAGATATCAATTTTTCGCAAACACTGGCGGTACTCATTTTTGGCACGCGCACACAGGTGCACAGAAGATGGACGGTATTTTCGGCAGCTTCGTGGTACGAGAAACTGAAAAGCAAGACGTCCATTCGCATCTTTATGATTTCGATTTAGCAAATCATGTAATGCTTGTTAACGATTGGTTCACGGAGGAAACAACGAGCCGATATCCAGGTCGTAAAATTGGTGTGAAACAACACCTTCCCGAGTCGTTTTTCATCAATGGAAAAGGAAGATATACGGTAAATAAATTTTTCTTAACTCAGAAAAGATAAGAGAGAAGAACCAAGGATTTTAGAAAAGGATTAAAGGAAATAAGAAGATGAAGGTAAATAATTTTGTATGTGTTGTAGAATCCATATGGTGTTACGACAAACGTTCCATTGGAAGTGATCACTGTGGAAGCTGGTCATCGATATCGTTTCCGTTTCATTAACTCTATCTGTACTGTTTGTGGAGTACAATTGACCATTGAAAAGCACAAGCTTACAGTCATTAGTAGCGATGGCCAATCTGTGGAACCTGTTGTAGTTGACTCCATCGTTTCGTTTGCTGGTACAGTGTCACTAAAAAACTAATTTACCATCATGATTTTTTATTATAAATTAGCGAAATTGTTAGTTCTGTATCAGAACTTTGGTACCAAAATTTTCGTCTAATGGTACAGAATTATTATGAAAATGTTGTTATTCTATGTACAGGTGAACGATACGATTTTGTCCTAAACGCTACTGAATCAAGTGGTGCCTACTGGATCCAACTTCGTGGGATAGGCGAATGTACGGACGTTAAAATTCAACAATTGGCTATATTACAATATGTGAGCGGATCTACCACTCCAGCCTCGAGGGAACCTACTTACGATTATCCACTTCGTGAAGGACTTGTAAGCCACTTTACTTTATGAACGTGAAAATAAAAAGTTACGAAAGTTTTGCACTACTTTGTAAGGAACTAAGTGCCTAATACAAACCTAATACAAAATTGTAGATACTGAATCCAATGGATTTCGACTGCAAAAACAAAGTTTGCGTTAGTGACTTGAAGCATGCGTTAAAAATCGATTCAGATATTCTGCAAGAAAAACCGGATGTGAAACTAGTGATTCCTATAGGCGTGGTGAACCATTCACCTGAAGAATTTTTCAAACCCAACGAGTACAAAAATTTCTTAGGTAAGATATTAATTTTATTTCCATTTCATATTAGCCTTAAGCTTCAAATTGATCTGTCACAAGTGCTATTTACAATACTTTTATTAGTCCACTAAATTTATCTTAAGAACGACCATTACATACTTGGCAAAAGATATTTTCTGCAATTATTTTTGTGCAGAATAAGACAAATTTTCAGGTATTCTTCCTAAATCTACTGAATTGATATTTTCTTCTTAATTGATATTAAACAGTTGCGAGACCGGATGTGGTGGTAACGGAAACATTGAACAATATAAGCCTCTCACTTCCGCCTTCACCACCGCTTAGTCAACTGTCAGATGTTTCCGGAAGTGAAATCTGCAATGCCGATAACATGCCAACTGATTGCGGCTCGACAGTTTGTACTTGCACCCACGTTATTAAGGTTCCTTTACATTCTGTCGTGGAAATCGTCGTCGTCGATGAGTGTAAGTAATTAAAATTTTCTCCAAAGAGAGATTTGTCAGATGAAAAATTATTTTCTTTTAAGACGATTAAAACACATAATTATTTCAGAAGAAATAATTTCTATCAAATGACGGTACAAAGCTAGTTGATTAATTATATACCTTTAATTGTATCAACAAATTTATATTGTAATTGTAGTTCGTGCAGCAGAAGTGCAACATTCCTTCCATATGCATGGATATGCGTTCCACGTTGTGAGCGTAGGTCAACCATTAGGTTCTTTTTCGGACAACACTCGCGCAATGACTGTCAAGTTATTTAATCAACTTGAAGAGTACAACCAGGTTAAAAGGAACTTCAATGCTCCACCTAGCAAAGACACTTTCGCTATACCCAATAATGGATATGCCATACTGAGATTTAAGGCAGATAATCCAGGTATGTATTCAACGATAAACTAATTTATTTTGTAATATGTGAGCTAATCAATTTTTTATTTTCAAGGCTTCTGGATGTTCCATTGCCATCAAATGTTCCACATATTGGTAGGTATGGAACTCGTTATACAAGTTGGAGAACCAAAGGACTTCCCAGAGACACCGAAAGATTTTCCGAAATGCGGCAATTACATACCGAAAGTTGAAGTGAGAAATCAAAAGAACAACCGAGCCAGAAAATACTTTTAAACCTGCGAAAAATTATTATATTTTCTAATATTCATCAGAGATAAAAATTGGTTGATTCTACATTTACACACAGCTTAAATATATTAAACTCCAATTGCTAACTCGTGCCCTTTCATTATTTCAATTAATGAAAAGAAAGAAAATAAAATAAAAACTTCTCGGTATATTCTAATATTATAATAAAGTTACATTATTGTGCATACTATAAAAAATTTTTTTAATGTCCTGTATATTCGACTTGTATACGTCAGTTATTAATTAATTGAATGCTAACTTAATTAACATTGCGACAATTATACCGACGGTCGCTAATACCGACGGCAGGTAATACCGACGGTAGGTAGTACCGACAAAAGAAATATAAGACCTAAAAACGAACAAATTATGAAACTTGGAATTCAGGATAGCGATAGATACGACCGGATCTAGCGAAATATAAGACTTAGATAAACAAACAAATCGCGAATTAGTAATTGCAAGATAGTGATAGATATGACCTGTAATAGTGTAAGATTCGATCTAGAAAGAGTATAAAACATTGAAAAAAGGAAATATCAGAATATACCTAAACTCATTTCTACTTACCTGTGACCTGGGTATACTTGTAAACCTAGAAGAAAATATAGTAGGATACTTACCTGAGTTTACATGTCGACATTATGGCATCCGGGGTGTCAGGGACCCCGATGCAGCTGTGGCGCTCTCTGCATACAGACCTGATATCATATTGGGGTGTTAGGGATCCCGATGCAGCGGTGGCGCTCTCTGCATATAGATCTGATATCACATTGGGGTGTCAGGGACCCCGGTGACTATCTGCGCACCGATTTAATATATCTGGGGTGTCAGGGACCCCGGCAACTATCTGCGCGTTAATCTAATATATCTAGGGGTGTCAGGGACCCCGATGACTATCTGTGCGCCGATCTAATATATCTGGGGTGTCAGGGACCCCGGTGACTCCCTCTGTATACCGACAAGATATCATCTTGGGGTGTTAGGGACCCCGAAGCACGGGTGATACTCTTTGCATAACTGAGAAATGAAGTTAAATACATTGAATAACTAAAATGATACAAGAATTTACGGCAAACGAGAAAAATAAAATTGCATTGGATAGACCAATCTCATTCATACAGATCTCAGAATATAGACCTCATTCAATGCTTTTTTGTCTCAGGGTCTTTAGTGACTCCTAATTACACTTTGCTGTACCAGTAAAAACTTGAATTACACCACAGCGCTCTCAATGATACGAATTCAAATTAAAAATAATTATTTTTTAATTATATATTAAATTTCAATAATATTTTTCTTCTAAGTTAATATTAGTGTTTTTGAAATGATGATCATAAGAATTTCTATACATTCTTTTAAACTTTAATATTTGTGTGTATAGTAAGTGATAAGGTCTCCCACATCGGATTTTGAGCAAACTGTAAAATATTAAAAATCATTCAAACTGATTGAATAACAAGAGGAGCGGACCGAACGTAAATTGCTTAGAAACAATATTCTTATTTATTTATCACACACCAATATACAAAAATGAACTGTATAATCAATATCAGAATATAATATACTACGAAATTCAAATATATTTAATAAAGATATATTTGAGTATCTTACAAGATTAGAATGATGCTTCAACTTGGAACAAAATTGTCTACAACATTGTATTTTTTTTTTGTAGTTGGCACAGAAATTCTGGTAGAAAAACGTCTTTTCTACGGCCGCTCTAAGGATTATAAATAAGTATTAATTTACGGGATCTTACGTCTAACGAGTTTCGCCTAAGTAGTCGTGAATAAAAATAAAAGATTCAAGATTTTTCCTCCCATTTTTTCAACTTTCAAGATTTTTAACACTTCTTTCTATACATCCTCTTTTCGTTCAACTAAATTCACAGAATTAGTCGGAAACTGAGTATCGTTCCTTCGTTATTCAACAGACAGACCGGCAACAATATTAAAGCGCAAAATCGTAAGGGAGAAAATTGTATCCTCTCTAAGGAAAAGGAAATTCTTTAAAAATTACATAGCACGAATCGTTTTCCTCGGGATTAAAAACAGAGGGATGTTTCGGCACCCTTCACGACCACGCTAACAGCTCGTCTCTCTATGAAAAAACATGGAATGATAATAGTAATTACTTTTTTTTTTGTCTTGCCTTGTTATCGATTTATATCTTAGTAATGTTACGATTATATCACAAGAAAGATTCAAATACTCTGTACATAATATCCCGGAACGCGAGACGTTCGATCAGGTTTCTTAATCCTTACATTTACATACGCCTAAGATTTAATTACAAAGTTAGATATGTCTCAGGTTCACCTGGTATTGTACTTCAACGCAATTTCTCGTGCTTCCTTTCCTCAATTTACTCTCTCCTTACCATTCTGCATGAAACGGTCGAGCACACGATTGCTCCTGTATCGATACGAACACGATCATTGATTCTACTCTTCGCGTTTTAAAAACGTAGCTTTATCTAGCTCGATCTCGTTTCTTCGACTTACGTTTCTAACTCGATATCGTTAATTGGCACATCTCGAATGGCAACTTTCGCATTGGCACGATGAAAAAAGAAAAGACTAATCGTCGATGTCGACGATATATGTAATTTGTTCTTCTGTTCGTGTCGAGAACAAAAATCGTGGAATAATTAGGAGGAGAAGGGGATACATGATCTTATTGCGATTGATCGTTCGAAAGATTGCTTGTTGATCGACGCGTTGCCTATTAGGACACTGGTGTAATTAGGCAGGGACCAAGATCGGCCTAGCCCCCCAAAAATGTGGATTGGGCCCTCACCATTTTAACATTTCATAATTAGACAATTTTTTAATTTTTAAGGGATTTTGTCCGACCCCAAAAAATGATAATTACACCAATATATGAGGGATTACTATTGTAAGTTCGTTTTAAAAAATGGTGTTAATCAATTTCCAGCGGGTCTGAGTTAATTTTGACACCAACAAATGGTTCTTTATATGGTATTTAGGATGTGTGATAGAACATTAATTAGATAAAGTGTATAATAAAACGTTGAACCATCTGAAAATTGCACTGGCTATGATCTTAATATAATGTAGCAAGCTTGGAGCGAGAAATTTGCACGATATGCTTGAAAAGTGTCTTTTGGTATTCCGTACGGAAAGCTATGTTTAGTATCGTTAATTCTAGCTAACTATAAACTCAGTGTAATCGTGCTGAAATCGAAACTAGCAATCGTTGTGAACGGATAATTCAGCTATTTTGATTTAAATAGAAAACTTGATCGGCAATTAACGCAATAGATAACAATCCTAAATTAATACTTTTCAGCCTCGGACGGCTGTAACATCATCTAGCTAACATAGATGAAGTATTTTTGTTTAAATTCGATGCAAAATTTTAGAGATTCTAATAAGAGGAAAATCATAATACAACCGAGTCCATGATATTATCTCTTGATAATATTACATCTAATGCTGCACTGCTATTATTATGCCATTAGTGCTGATTGTCAGTGATAAAAAGCAAAATGAAAATTGCAAGGTGTTAGCAATGAGATTTATAATTTCAAAACCTGTAACATTCATGAATATTCAACGAGTGTTGTTGATTCGCTAATTACATGACAGACACATTTGTTCATATGAAATTAACACTTGTTTTTATGGAATAGAACGATAACAATAATAGGTATTATTAATAAATTAAGTAATTATTTATTTTGATGATACTAAAAGGGATACTGAGCTTTCCCAATTGAACAAACTTTTATTGTATATACAATGAAAAATATGAAAGCACGTGAACAAATATGCGAGTCACCGTGAGCAAATATGCATAAAATAGGACAGAGCTATTTTACACATTGGACTCGGTCGATGGATAAAAATCGTCTGTAAAATATTCACAAGTGAATTACGTTTACGACTGTTAAATTACAAGCTGTAGAGAGCAATATATCACTATGCTGATAATATTAATGCTTAGATAGCAGAGTTCATAATCGATGCTACGCTCGTTAACGAGCAAAGAATAACAATGCTTGAGCAATATAAACAATCGGCTCAAAAACTTCTACGAATTAATTCTTCTTAATCTGTGTACAATTATCGATCGATTCGCGAGTTGCAAGAACAGAAACAATCAAGAAATTCAAACCCAGTTCACTCCTTTCCAACACATTTCTATGTTCATCTTTTTTAAGCGCCGCAGACGTATATAAAATCTCATTACCGTGAATTAGACACATATATACAATTTTTTTTAAACTTATCTCGATATTGAAAAATAAAAAAGAACAATCATACCTACAAGTGAATCTATACAGATGCAGTTTAAATCTAAGCAACGTCCCTGGCATGCATTCACGTCGAAAGAATTCAGTACTCAAAAGGTTAACGCGTTGAAAACTGGGAATAAATTCCTAATCGTGTTCGAATCAAATCACGAACAAGTCTACGACGTCTACGCTAAATTTCATTTGTTTCGGAACGAAACGATCCCAACCGTCTCGATAAGCAAGAAAGTCTACCGGTAGATCGCGAAGTTTGGAGCACGGGTAAGAATCATTGCAAAGATTAAATCGTAACGATTGCACAAACGTTTGGACTATCGCTAAGCCTATCACAAGTAGCAGTACAAATATCCTCCGTTCGAGAGAAAGAGAGAGAACCTAAGAGGAAGAAATATTGAAACTTTCAATGATCGCGGACTCGTTGCAACCACGATCCTCTCGAATCGATCGATACGGACCCGTTTCTTCTCGATCAGCATAAACGCGTCTCAAATAAAGTAGGCAGTGAGGGAACGAAGTTATTCCTACCTTGAGTATACGTTGTTTGTCGATAAAGATACTGTGCAGAGATGGCAAATTGGTTGACAGAAATCGAGGCGTAGTACAGTAGTCGCTCGATATAATTTCCCACCTTTAGGGTTTTAGAGGTCTTTGTCATTCATTAGCTGTATAATTCCCTGTTAGCAATAGTGAATGACTCGCTTCTAGAGCTCCGAATGTAGATAATTATCGAACGAATATTATAATTAGGTAAAAAAATGAAGTGTACATACGCGTGGGAGATCGAGGGGTTCCTAATATGACGGCTAATTATCGAGCTATTGTACTCTGTTCACCCTGTCAAATCTCATTTTTCATGATTTCGAAATGATACATGTTTTAGCTATCGTTTCAGTCAACAACGAAAATATATTAATCACGTTTCTACTAATTAACAAGTCATCTCTGCATAGTAAATGATACATACGACTGCAAGTGTGTGTTGTCAAAGTGTCAACGAAATAGTGTCCTGACGTGATTCCCTAAAAAATAAAGAGGAAAATTAAATATCGTATCTCGTGTGTCCCACTGCCGGCCGATTCGGTTCGACCAGAGCTTCGATTAGACCTTTGTCGAGGTCTACGATCGAGATTTCGTCGATCGCTAAACGGTGATTGCACATTGCTCGTGACTTCGTGTCGTTACACCTAGAACACTTTCGACCAGCCAACCTCGACGAACACGGATATCCGCACCTAGCTGTCACGCTCGTTCCCCTTCCGATTTTGCTGGGCTCTATTTAATATGATTTTATATAGTTTCTTCTTTATTTTGATTATTCAATCGCGCTGGTCTCTGCACGGACATACGCGTCGTTTCAGTGGTCCACCGGAAGCTGTTAGCGAGGAGGACAACTCGCAATAAGCTCAGTTATATGGCCATGAGTGCCTGATTGAAGTGACCACGTTCGAGGTAGGCGGGTCCTCCGGGCGTCACTTCTTCATGTCGTTCATCAACGTGCCGTCCTTGCTCTTATTCGTGTCGAGATTCGATTGCTGACTACTTGTCACGCCGCTACCGTTCCCTGGGTACATCTTCTCCAGGTGATTCAGCGACTCGCTTAGGAACTTCTGTAATTTAACCGTGCGGAATCGCGACATTAGATAAATATTTGAATTGTTACTCTGAGACATTCGATACTAGGTATCCTCGATCGAGGACAAGATGATGCTGCATTCCAAAGAAATGCAAAATGTGGAATAAAGATTATTCAGTTATATAATTATTATTTATTACAATTCAGATGGATCGGTGGGGTCGAGGTGGCGTATTAGAATAACTAGAAAGTTGCAGCATTCTAAAGAAATGCAAAATGTGGAATAAAGATTATTTAACGAGTTTAATGATCATTATTTGTTACATTTCAGATGGATCGGTAGAGTTCAGATAGCGTATTAGAATAATTAGAAAGTTAATGAATAGCTTTCTTTTCTTTAAATAATAAGAAAAATCAATACCTGTATTGCCGTAAGAGCGGCTACGATTGCAGGACTCCCGAATCCATGTGATATAAGAGAGAAATGTGTTAGGTGTCTCTGTATGCTTGGATCGAGGATGTGTTGCGGCCGTGTGTTACAAAGTGGTGATCTATCTTGATTCAAAAGATCCATCAGCTCTTTGGTGATTTGTCTGAAAAACATACCAACCACGTTAAACTCCATAATTTACCTGACAAACTATTATATACTTTGTAACAGAAATTATAGTCATTCCTAGTCGCGAAAGGGTTAAATGCAAAATTCACTATAGGTAGGTGGCAAGATGCGCCAAAATTTTTAATTTGTTTTCTTATTTTGAAAAGTTGCTCTCTATGATTTTACAAACTTATTGTTTTGGGGCTTGCTTATAATTTTGCAAGGTTTTCACCTAATCGACACTCCAAAAATGCACCCCAGTGAAATTACAGTAATTTCACGTTTCTTTTCTTTTTTCACGAAAGCTCAAGCTTCCGACCGATGCGGTCCCGATTATCTCGATAGATTTCTTTCGCCATTGTTTTCAACTCGGAGATAAATTCTTACTTGGTGGCATGAAGAAGTTCTTTTCTCCTGTAGGAATCTTGCGGTTCACAATGCTGCCGACTCAGGTATTCGGCAACTTGTTTCGCAGGGAATTCGGTTTCGCAAACATAGCCGAAGTCTCTGGCAAGGTGAATGGCTTCTCCTGCAAAAAGAAATAAAGTACTCAAGGTATGGAAGCGGAATCACATAAGCCACGTATGGAAATGTGTGAATTAATATTTTTTACACATTTACGACCTAACATTTCATTTCAATATTATCCACGATAATTTTTACTAATCTTTTTCATTATGTTTCGTATGTTAATAAAAATACTTTCACTTAAAATTATTGCATATTTTAAATAGAATCATCACTTTTATATGTACGAAAATTTTCGTAAGAAACTGTACGCGATTGTGAATAAATAAAAGGATACTTTCGTACCGAAGCTTGAATTTAACACGTGTCATCAGGAATGATTATCAAAGATCTAATCGCTAGCGCAGGTCGCGCGAGCTTTTGCACGTTGCACGTACAAAGTGCAACAGGTCGATTTTAATACCATCCATAGAACCCATCTGCATCGATCTGCATACTCCTTCCATCGCGTGTTCCATAACTTCTTTTAATTCCCTTTAACTAAATTGCTATCTTCCTCACGTACTTACATACCCAAGATACAGACGATTAGTTTGTGAAAAGAACTTCATGGGACACTAGGATCGTTTATTTTTATGAAATGAAACATTTCATAAGTACTAATTTCTTATCCTATGTTTTAGATGGTATTGTAATTGGATGTACAAAACATGGTACATCCAAACATTGTAATTCTTAAAATATAATTATAATACATTATATACATTTTTTTTTCCTTCTAATTCAAAATGTAACGAGTAATTCTACTTTATTCCAAACTAAAATAATTGCAGTAATTTTATAAATAGATCCTAGTCATTATTTTCATTCGTTCAATTTCTACTCAATTTCTTCGAGCATGTAAATTATGTTGCAGCGAATTGTACGCTAATTCACCTTATTCAATTACCAACGATAATTTAGCGTAGCAATAACCGAACCCAAGGTGAACGTATTTTCGCAAATAGCGTTAAAGTTTTTTCCACCGGGCAGTTGGTAATTGTCACGTCGGTTTTTCGATCGAACGAGCAACATAGTAAAGTCATCAAGCAAAAAGGCTAACCATTAATTCGCGAGTCACGTTGTTGATTCGTTCTTTGGTGCAACTGCGTGTGCCAATCTGAAGCCCGTATCTGAAATCATCTTCCACCAATCTGTACTCCTCATCTGCATCCAGCTATGTACGCTTCTGTCGCTTGTATTGAGTCGTCTCGTTGCATGACCGAATCACGAATTATCGTTTCGATTATTTTCTTTTTTTTGAATAAAAATTGTTTTTTCGCGATAAATTTAATTTATAATCAATCTTGATAGTCACCGACGATCAACCCTTCAACAACCCTTGAACGGCGGACCATGGAGAGAGCCCCAATTTTAATTTAATTTTGCATTTTATATTATGTTTATTTTCTCAATTTTACACTGTCCCTCTGAAAATTATTCTTTTAATACATGAAACTCTTTTATTTAATAATTACACATTCGAAACGATTCCTATTATGTTTTTGTCGAAAATACATCCAGTATTGAACTGGATGCACTAACTGGAATGGCCTTCCATGGTGTGTGTAACCGTGATTGCATCACCGTGCGGCAACCAGACCACGAATTTACGCATGAATCACGCACAGGTATAAGTTAATCGTACGCGGCCAAAGTATACCTATACACCTGGTGCGTTTATGTCCTCCGTTCGAGAGGAGGTTCCCACACTTTCGCTGCACTCCACCGGCTCTTTCGACGGCTATCACATGTACCTACTTCTTAGATATAACGTGGATATTTCGAAATAACGTGTCATTCTACGAATTTGATTTCTGACTGTGAATGCTTCTGAGCTTTCTAAGGTTTTTATTATTATAATAACTCCCAGTTATTGTCGAGGTAATATTTTCAAGCCCAAGAGTATCTTGCATGAGATGGGGTAGAAAATAAAATACTGAATAAAATATTTTTCTTAACACTATACCTCCTATAAATGAATCTCTGTAAAGAATTATTATGTAGGGGAAATAGGGGGAAAAAGTAGCAATTTGACTTTGAACTATGATGGCGTAAAAATTATTACATTTACAACAAAAATGTTTATATCAAAACCCTTACATAGTTTTTAAATTGAACATTTATTTTTTAAAAGTCATGGTAACTCAGTAATTTTTATTATTCGCGTCACTTTTTAAATACACAGCAACGCAGGGAAATATTCAAATTTAAAATACTAATTAAGAAGATGTAGTGTTAAAGGTTCCAAATTAATTTAAACACCTAATATATTAATTGCTTATCTATGTTGTTAGAATATTAATTCTGTACTTTAATTGTAATTTAGGAATTTGATTATATCAAAAATTTGCGATAATAGCTACAGTAGATTTTGAATTATCTACGATAACTCTTTTGTCCCCGCTCTCTCCTATCCAGAATGAATATCGCTAAAAAATGATGCTTTAAAAATTCATCAAGCGCGAAAATTGAAGTCAATAAGCAGATACGAAGACGTTCGTATCGATGCATCAAACTTTCCATTAACAATAATTCATCGAGGACGAAGAGCGAATTCCAATTAACGATCTCGACCCGTAGCTATTTGAGATCGAGGTGGTCACAGGTTGCGTAACGCATAATTAGATTTTATTCAGCGATACCGCTTCCTTCAACAAATTTATTCCATTTATTCAAATAAGCATCGATAATGACAAATATGATCTATGTATATCCGTTACGCGTTGCCGTTTCCCCATATATTATGGGGCGCGTGACTGTTAGAAAAAGTAGAAGAAGAAGAAGAAGAAGAAGGTGGTTCGAAGCGTAGAACGCAGCAGTTGTTCGAGTAAAATATCCACGAGATTAATTTCCGTCTTCGAAATGCCATCAAGAAACGAGGATTCTAAATGTCCGATGAAACGAGTTTGAAAACCTGTGTTGCTAGACAGTTAATTAGATCGCTGAACGGGATATCCCGAGCTACGCGTTCCGTCCACTTAATAGAATTGATTCTATGGTTTATGCGTTATTAAGGAGCGAGCCGCTCTTCCCTTCGGCTAGCGATAGTACATTAAAATGAGCCAAGAATTTATTGTCGAACCGTGAAACTTATTAACCACGTATTTCGACCTAGTACCTATGCTAAAGTCTGTTTCATTTCGTTAAGTTACCTCGGAGTACTAATTACCTTCGGTTTCGCGAGCAAATTATAATTAAAATTAAAGTAAAATTGGAGATGTGATAATTCAATTTTGAAGAATTATTTTTTAAATTCAGTATGACATAGGATTTCGGTTATTTAATTATGTGGCCTTCTTAAATAGAAAAATTATACCTTTTATAGTTGAAAATTTGTTAGGTTAATTTAAATGAAATGTAATTTCTATAAGTGATCAATGCTAAAACGTGCTCTGAATACACACACATGTCATCTTCACGTGTCAGTGGCGGGCAAAGCAAAAGCCGAGACAGTGTTTTATAGAAGCCCACCAACCATAAATTATAATCAACGTCCGCATCAACGCTCTAACAATTCTTCGGTTGAGTCATTAAAGCTCCGTCAAGAAAAGTAGGGCCTCTTATTTGTTGAGTCTCATTGCACATTGGTACGTGTGTGTTATTAAGGGCACGATTAACAGTGGATGTCCTGTAGGAATGGATCCTGGCTATCTGATTGCTATATGTCTCACCACCGGAAATCAAACTGCGTTAAACAAGCCTGTACTGCTGTTAAAAAGTACGTAACGTCCTTTCGTTAACGCGAAACGATTTTATCGAGACAATTTCGAAGTTGTTCGCCAGTTAATTACAATGACAATTTCGTTTCTGAGATAACGATTGAAATATGGGGCACAGTTTCACGCAGTTTTTTTATATTTGTTAATTAAAAGTAAGAGTAAGAATAAGAGCAGTCGAATTTTAATGTTGTCGCTACTTTAGGATATTTATTGGCACTGGACATTTTTGATAATTATTCAGAATAAGAATAGTTAATTATCAAATTTCGAATTTTAAGCTTTCAATTTGCTCCTTATAACTATTCAAAATAATATTTTTCTTTCTTTCTTTTTAATTATTTCAATGTATCTAATCGGTGACACCCTACACTATTAAATTTTTCTTCAAAAATTCTAGAAAATTAGAATTATCATAAATTTTTCCAGCTTCGTACTCATAATTTTGATTCTACAATATTAATTCTCATGCAATAAAATATTCGATAGAATTTAATAGCATGTAATATTGACATTATCATAATGTCACATATGACAGATTATTCGTAATGTTATTTACGCAAATGCAAATACTTCCTCGTTTTTGATCCATTAAATGCTTGCATAAATTAGGGTAATTAGATGTTCGAATTTGCATATTTGAATCCGTAATTGATCAAAAAAAGTGTTACAAGAAATCTGTGTGATATTGATTTGAAAACGCAATCACGTATTAAGTTAATTAGACGCAACAATAATTATAATTTATGTATCCTTAATGCTTATATAATGTTAAGTTGTTGCATATCAAACAGATGACGATTTGATGACAAATGTAATGCAAAATAATACTTATGGCATATTAATTAAAGAAATATTAATATTCATAATAATATTCTCAATTTCACAGCATAATGTAAATAAAACTTTAATAATTTTCTGTTGGATACAACAAGGAACACAAAATTATAAAAACTATAAATTAAATTTCAAATTAGTATACTTTAAGTGCTGTTTAGCAATATTTTTATATTTTGAAATTGGCCATTGTATTCTATTTTAAAAACTAATTAAGGCTTAGCAAATCATTAAATTTCAATTTCACTTAACAAAATTTCGTATGCTATTAAAATATTTTATTTAATAGAAATTGGAAATAAAAAAAATCTCTTAACTCACCTTCCACTAATGATGTTAAGAGCGTAACATTGGCTGCCTTCCTCCTTCCGGCTGGCAAGTTTAACCCAATTTTCTCCAATTTTTCCCTAAGCAGACGTCCGCCATTTTTGGATTTTGCCCTGGAAAATGACAAACATAAAAGAAAAATAACAGCTATTATAATTAAATAACCAACTCGATATTGTAATCTTTTTGCAAGGATGCAACTTGCATCACGTTGCATAATGAATTCTACTGCAGCCGAGGATCTCGTGTCGATTCGTTTGAACGGAACCTTATCTTTCGACTCGTCTCTTTGTTCGGCTCGTTTAAATATGTCAAAGTGCTTCAAACACGCGCGTTAAACCGAGACCAGTCGGGGAGCACAGATATTTCGAAACGGAATTGCTCCATTAATCATTTTTGCCGCGATGCTTGAAGGAAGGAGAAAAAAGAAGTTGACGAGTAACAGGGAAGAGAGGCGGGACAGAGAGAGACGAGGAAATTAGCATAATCCGTAGCTACGTGTGTCATCCATCGACTATTGAGTAACTCGACCAGTGGATAAGTCGATTGCGGAGCAAGATACTTTCCAACGCGTTGTATAATTTATTCTGTGTCGCATAAATCTGTATAAATTTATAAAAATATCGATAAACGAAATTTTATTATTCACACGTTCTCTGCCATGTGTATCGTTTCTGGTACATTCCTACTCATACTACGCTATATTTTTGCTATTAAAGAGTTGACAATTGCGCACGCTATATCGCGTGATCGGACCTTTAGCCACTGATACCATCAGTCGTGCGACAGGGAATGTGTTAAGTTATATGTATGTTTTATTGAAATTAGAACTCATTCTTTTCTGGAATTTATAGGTGTCTGTCGGATCGGAAAATCGAACGGGTTTTCATATTTTTATTTTTTTTGTAGTTTATAATAGAAAATGCTATTTTGTAAATAGTATATTTTCGACCTCTGTGAATTAATAGGCGAACACACCCTATCCATCCATCATTTGTAAACCAACATAACGGTATCGCGTATATCGTCTACCTTTGTTCGGTTTGGACAGCTGGTCCATCCGGTAATCTTTCGCTTCGCTCGGCAATTAATACACTTTACCGCTACGAAATTTTTAATATATCTACCTTCGGATCTACGCTCCCGATACGTTTCGTGTCGCTTCCTCGTAACCGCGAACGCGTTGATGCTGGACACTCGGCTGGAAACTTGATTTAGAAGTGTAGCCTGCTTCGGGAATTCTTGCGATAATTTGTGAACGTTCATAGTTCGACGATCAGATAATGTTTTATTGGATATGATAAACCTGTTGTGCTGAACCTTGCTTCCTGACGTTTCATTGTAATGTTTGAATTGAATTTGGTAACAGGTCATTTATAAATCTTACACTTTCGTTTTTATTATTTTACATGAAATACAATGATTCGTATTGATATTGAAATAATTGATGTTTATTTACTTTTATTGATATTGAAATAATCGATATTTAATTATTTTTATTGATATTGAAATAATTGATATTTATTTATTTTTATTGATATTGAAATTTTTTTTCTCTTAACAACCAAAACTGATAAGAAAAGCCTCCCAGCATTTTATCCCAATCAGAATTTTAGAGTTGGGACATATTTCTTAAAAGTAATTAAAAAACTGTTCCATTAAAAACACATGGCTATAAAAATTTCCTAATTAAGCTAATACATTTTTTATTTTCAAATAAATCATTATAGACTGAATAAACTTCAACAGCCTTAAATAAACAACTTTGAGATATATTAAAAAATTAACGAGTCATCAATTAAAGTTCATACTTAAAATGCGCATCGTTTTAATGTCACGGTCCCTCCGCATGACCGAGTAAATAACACTTGACGGTAAAACGCATATCGTTCCTCTCGTTGTTTCTCTTAATATGTAATTATCCTGTATAAATTGCTTGATTATCAGAACATTTACCGCGGTATGTAGAAACTTTACGCAACAATTTATCCTTCGACGTGCACTTGTCAGCTCGAAGCATCGCCAAGGAATTTTGCGTTCGACGACAACGTCCCCATATTTATTATCGACGACGACACCAGCGATTCGTTTGAACGTGACGAGAGCAATTCTCTACTCATTACACGCTCTTGTCCCAACAAGTATTCTTCTCTTCTTCAGCGATCCATTCGTATCTCCCCAACGTTTCTACCATCTTCTTCGCGCCCTTCGCGACTCCCTATGAGCATGAACTCCAGGACACCCCTGATTACTTGAGACATCCTCGAACACTGGCATCGTTAATCGTAAGTCTACGACGGAATGATCGAACACAATCTCGAGAAATTATTTAGTAAATAAATGTTTGGAATAACGATCAGAAGGCTATATAATAGTATAATGCTTTGTTCTTGATCCTTCAAGTTTGATGATTATTTATTATAATTTATTTTTGTTATTAGTATACGCCATGAAACTACTAATTTTTAAATTTTAAATTGTTAGATAGAATCATTACTTTTAATAGCTCGTTTCGCAGCTATTTTTTAATTAAATTAATTCTATAATATTTCTTTGCCTTTTCCTATTTCTCGATGTCGCAAAACGTTCAATAATTGCTACGTTCGAAAGAGCAAACCAAAGGGGATAGATCTATAATATGAGCGACAGGTGAGCATCAATCTTTCTTCGCGTAATCTATGATGCTCCAATGACCAACGATCCCAGGAGATACAATCGTAACTTAAGGATCTTTTGCAATGCAACGTAACTGTCGATCGTAAACCTCTGTTTGGTCATAAAGACGCAACGCAACCGGAAAGAGGAGAATGTAGAAGAAATAGACAAACGAGACGGAAAATAAAAGAATATTTACGATGTCATCAAATAACCATCAGCAAATAACGCTGCAACGCGACTTGTTATCATTTACAACGTCCACGAATTCGTACGATTAACGAGCCTTTAAAGAAAGGGGGGCATAAAAGTTGACGAACAACCGATCGTTTCAATAACTGCGTCGTTTAAAAATTTAACAAATTACGCGTGGTAATCGTTGAAACAGAGGTTACGATACAAACCCGAATCGTACGAGTCTTTAGTAAATGAAGCACTTCAAATGAAAATTATCTGCTCGTAAAATTCTGGTTTGCAAAATTCTACGCGTTTATGACTTAACAGACGCATGCACTGTTTCTTCGTCAGTGAAATAACAACAATAGCGTAGCTGTTACCGTGCCTTATTATCCAGGATATTTCGCGTTAAACAACAGAAATTACAATGCTACATTGTTCTGCAGAGTAATTTTCAAAGCTGTTAACCGATTGTCAGAACGGTCAAATACGAAAATGAAACGTGAAATTATGAATAAAGCATGCATTCGAATTTCTTGACAACTGACTTTTTGCATCGTTCTGACGTTTGCAATTAGTTTTTAATACATTGTGGAGTACTTATAGCTTTATAGATACGTGTAATTAGTTGTCACTTAAATATGTACAAAAGGATTTCATTTTTCTTTTAAATTTGCAGCTTAATTTAATGGTATCGAATACCTAATAGAAACCTAAATTATCCACCGGCCATAGATAAAATAGATACGTACTACCTTCTTATAATTAATAATCACTAAAGATTAAAAGGTGTAATATTTTTGTTCAATTTCTTCTTAATTGAAACATCTAACTTTCATTATTTCAATTGAGTTAGGTATATGTGAATTTATAATAATCAAAAGGTTATCAATTGATTTTTCTTCAACAATCGATACTGTCAAAAAGGCTATTAATAGGTTTCTGGTAGATGGAAGTGTTATTACTTATGCAAAGTATCAAAAATGAAAATTGTGTCTCTCTTCATGGCCTACCGTCACGTCGAAGGGTTAAATAATTAAAAAAATGAAAGAAACTAATAATATATAAAATAGAAAGGCGAGGGCTAACGTTTGAAAACAAATGTATAATATAATTCTAGTTCCAAATGATTTAACGTGACAAGGTGTTCTGGGTAGAATTTCGCTTACACCACGGCGGGGTTAATAAAATATCAATCCCCTGTCAGCGCGGAGGAGCCGATAAACCGAGTTGCAGTTTTAATTTCGTCGGTGCAACCGGCAATCGAAAGGGTTTGCGCATCCAGGAACGTTAAACGCGAACGTTCAGTAAAACCCGTCGATCGTAAACCTTAATTCACCGTGAAGGTAGAACGAAAGGGGGACGGCGAAGGGAGGCGGACGCGAGAGACAAAAGAAAAGGCAGATGGGCACAGTAGAAATCTATGGTGGCAAGAGAATCAGCCGCGTGTAATTATCAGTCAGATCGCTATTCGAATGGATGAATTATAATCGTCGCGGTCTGCGGTTCAACGAATGCTCGATGCCAGCCCGAGGGCTGCTCGTACACTACCAATTGACACTCCGAGCTATGCAATTATTAATGTCTCATTTGCATCAGGGATAGATCGACCGCTTTATTGTCAGTTTATTTCTCGCTCTCGTTTTTTTTTTTTTTTTTTTCGTCCATCGCGTCCTATACAGATTGATCATTCAAGATTTCTTTTCTTTAAAACACGGAAGCATTTATTCGCACCGCCATGACTGCCAGGATCTCGTTAACATCTCGTGTATCGGACACGACAAAGATGAACAGCTCACGATTACGGTTTATTACAGCTGCTGCTTCTTAAACTTGCGATTAGCGAAGCAAACAGACCTGAACGCATGAGCACCTCGTACACCAATACATATACGTAACTGTATTTTCACGAGTAGCTGGATACTTGGTAAAAATTAATAAATAAGGGTCGCAGTATGTTCAATCGTCGCCTCCTCGTCTTTTCCTTCGTGAGGATGTTTTTCGTTCTTTTCAAAAAGCCGCCGCAGTTCGCGACGAGACGCGAAGACGAAAGCGTTAATAAATTAATAAATTATTATTTTACACCGCTCAACTGTCCTAAAAAAACTTTTTTCAAAATAATAAAAATTATGAACAGTGGTATACTAGTTCAACATGCGTGAGATACATCCGGCCGTATCCATGCCGGTGATTTATCCATGCCTTTGGTGATAAAGCATTGCGCAACGGATAGTGTTCTGGCTGAGTAAAACGGTGGATCAGATAAAGAGGAGAGCTTCCCGCTTCCAAGAGAGAAACTCATAAATCAGCTGGCTGTCCGTGAGCGGTTATATGAGGTTGGCCGAATGAAGTGAACGCACGTTTATTAATTAACCGGCTAGATAAAGTCGCGTAACGGTGAAACGTATCGGTATCTCGGTTCCAAGACCTATCCTTTGCTCTCGAGTATTGTTCCGAGATACAAACCTAGCCTCGGATGTTTCTCCGCCGCGGACAAGTGTCCGGAAGCGTACGCGTTTATTTACACCGACACTGTATCTCGTGTTCCTTGCCCGTTTCTACGTGTTCGCTTTTCGGACGAGCTATCAGTCACTATCATCTGGTACCGTTAAAATACTTAATTCAGCGCGGACGAACGCGAACGGTGGTCCAGCGGTTACTGGACAAATAGTTGATTAAAAAGGAACAAGTATGATGGGGTTTAGCACGGACTTGACCATCCTTATTCAATCTTTCCACAGAAAATATCTGTCAGTTTATACAATTTTGTCTAATAAATAGGTCGAAATGCAATATGCAATTTTATGATTGAAAACCATGTTACAATTAGCATTAAATATTTTAATTATTATACTTCATTAAATATTTAATCTGTCTAGTAAAGATAAAGGAAATCGACGAGTTTTTACATGGAAATAGTACTTGTCTTTAAAAAGTTTATGATAAAAGTTAAACACTGCCTGTAAGGTCAATGACTTTCGCCTAGAAGCAATATTCATTAACACGTTGAATCGCACAGTAAAAACAGCCTTCTATAGTAAAAATAAAAGAATGAAAAAAGTTTATATATTCTACTGGAAATAGTTCATGATAAATTAATGATAGAAATGATAAAAAAACATTGCAAGAGTATTCATCACAGGATGTACAAAAGATTGATCAAGGAGGTTGTTAATTTTATTCACGAAACACGTCAAAGATGAAATACCACTATTATCAGAATGTACAATTTTCTTTTTTTTTTTTTTACAGAATACTACACTTTATTTATGTTGATGAACAATATTGATTACTTCGAACTAGCCACGAACGTGCTATTTTTCATTCATAAAATAAATCCTTCGTTTCAACGATGTAATCTATCTTAGGCATCAAAGATTAATGTTCCTGTTCCTGAAATTACATGACTGTTTTGTAAATAGTCTGTAAGACATTCTTTTTGCTAGACTGAAGATGAAATGGGTAGATGAATTCAGTAGATGAAATAGGAAATTAAATAAAACTTGGGGCTCTCTCCGTGGTCCGTCGTGCAAGGATTAAATACTATTTCCAACGTAAAACCCCTCGATTTTAATAACAATAATATTCATTTTTAATCTCATTTTCAGGGTTCCATTGAAAACGAGAATTCACACGGTACGCAGAATACCAGATACTATTTTAGCGATAAAATCCACGAAATTTACTGTGGAAGGTGTACTCAAAGCGTGGTGGCATCAGGCAACGTTGTCTGATTACTCGACTATAAAGGGTCTAATCCCCTTATAAAATTGTATTATGCAAACGAAGCCAGGATGCGCATCCAGACAGTCGCCAGTTTCTCAGGGTAATATCTTACCTTCGTAAGACTCCTCCAAGGAGACTCGCGTTTAAGCATTCCGGTGGCGATAGTCGTCTTTGTACCTCGGCTACTGTAACTTTGTACTTGCTGGTGCTGCTTAGTAACGATAATCGTCCTGGAACCGAACAGAACACATCCGAAGGCTGCGCGTTTCCGGTCAGCATCGCCTTCTCGCTCCTGTCCGATGGTTTCATGTCTGCAACAAACAATTATTACATTTGTAGCAGAGGATCATTCGTCTGGAGGATTAGGGATCGAATTAATCGGTGAGCAGGAAAAACGGTTGTTGAATGAGGCAGGAGTTTAATTAATGATCGTCGATTGAAATACATGGATGAATTATCGAACCATTACTAGATTAAGTTGTAAATGTTGAGCATGAAATTCGGGATTCGAATGGTGTCAAATATAGAAAATAAAAAGATTGAATTAAAATTGGGGTTCTCTCCATGGTTCGCCATCCGGGGGTTAAAGGAATAATGTGAAATTTGGAAAATAAAAATACTACATCAATTAATTATTAACATCATCTTTACATACTTCTGATATAATAAAATTAGAAATTTATAGTTTGTTTAAAGAAATCTTATGAAACTTAGAAAATTAATTTTGAACCGAAAAAGGAACTATAAATTATTTTAATTTTCGTTAAATATCTTTCAATTAATTTTACGCTGTTGATAAAAGGAATGTAATAATCCTGTGAACATCGGTGTGCCTTATTCTCGTAAAAGGTCAAAGAGGTTTTAACGAGAATCTACAGGGAAGGAATACCAAAACCGAAGGTTCTTCTGAAATTACATTATCCTGGTTGCTATGTATGGGTACATAACCGTGGTCAGAGCAATATCCTCTGCAAAATATTTTAAATTCGCCGTGCCCGTCTTGCTTTCGTTTCTATGCACCGATAGTCCGGCATTATTGCATCGTTGCTCTGGAATGCTTAATATAAGAGGAAGGAGAAGCGGAAGGTACGGACAAAGCCGTGTTATTACAAGGCGAAGCGATGGTCAACTTATAACTTGAAACTCTTCATTGTTGCTTCGTTCCATGAGGTATATGCACCTATGTTTTATGGTAGTTTTGAGGCAACATGAATTTCAAATCAATTCTTAAACAAAAATATAGTATTCTTCTTATTTCTTTATTCACCGATGTTATTAAAAATTTTTGTTCATTAATTATTCACTGATTGATTAACGACCAGCCTAAAGCACTGCAGCTATTGACTTGAAATTCTGTGGGTGTATTTCTTCCATATCATGTGCGCGTTTAAAAACTAATTATTGGATTTTGCGCTAATCAATCCGTAAGTGAATAAAAGGGGGTAAAATGCTTTTAATAAAAAAGCGCGATTATTGAAGAGAAAGAGAGTCGTGAAGAAAATTTCTTTAAATAGATAATAAATTCATTGAAAAGCTCAGCTGGACACCATCGCTACGTGTGATTGAAACGTACACCGTGAGGTATAGAATGCGCTTGAGATTTGTGCTCGTGAAAATGCGAGACAAAGAGAAGAGAGGAGTAAATAAAGGAAGAGGGTAGAAGAGGAAAGGAGTAAGAGAGTGCAAACAAGTTGTCAAGTAGAATCAATCCGCATCGACGTCTCGATCGGTCGGGTCAAACGGGTAATAAATTTCTTCGCGTACCAAATAGGTCGACGTACGTTTGTTTCGCGTTTATAAATTGCGATCTCGAGAATGGAACGGTAGATGATCGTGTAACGGTATACTAACTGTTTATAGTGGTTACCGAATAATTTGGTACTTTCAAAAATATCACCTTTGCACCATAAAATCAACGAATTATCCCCGAAGAAACCGAATGATCTCTATCGCGGGGCATAAATCAGAAAGCGTGTTATCACGTGTGCTAAAAATACAAAAGAAATTTTGCGATCGAACGTGAAAGAAAAGTGTTACACGGCAGCCGTTGTCCGACGATTAAAATTCTGAACGTCGTAAATTTCACGGGTGAATTCGAAAACGGGTCGGTTAATGAGATTTTCAGCCATCTTTCACCTTCTTCTCAGGTGCGCGCGTGTATTCGCGGCAACATCCTCTCCACGGCATCCCAGGGTCGGCTGTGTCTTGTTTTAGCCGAGATAACGTCTAGGAAGTCGCCACCAGATAATTTGTCACTCCAGGAACGTGGATATATTACCGGCGCTGTTGAAACAAAAGTGCCAAGAGGCTTTGGTCACGACTGGCTGGAACCGTGAAAACGGTTGCTTTCACGATATACCCTTGCGCCTGTGTTAATTATGGTACGTGTAACTGGACGGTAATTAGTCGTGATACCCCTAAGTGAGGTAATCGTTTGCACGTAATGGCAATTCTTTATCGTAATCGCGTAATCGGTGGCAATGAGCTTTCATAAGAGTAAGACGAATTATCTCGGCGAATCATTATCGCTAGACTGCATACAAATATGCAAATGTATATTTTAACCAAACGAAAATAAGAACAATTATTTTAACTGTAAAGATAACGTATTCTTAGAAATAAATTTCATTTCTAAAGAAATAATGATTAATTAAATAGCAATTTTGAAAAATGACATTTCCTTCTAATTACTGTCACAGTCGTTAAATAACCATGATTTAATTGTGAGATCTAAATCAATATCTGACGTCAGGTTTTTCAACTGGTGCATTCTAACGTTGAAATCGAGGATCGGTCGATGATCGTTTGTCAAAGAGATCGAAATCGAGTCGGCGGTATTGCTACAAAGCGTGGGCAGTCAATTAAGCTCTTGTACAGCGATAAATCGATGCTGCTGTTTGTGTAGAAGATAGAATAAAACTTCTTTCATTGATGTCAGTGGATCTCGAGTGCGAAACGACCGGCTGACAGGTAGATTGTAGCCAAAGGTAAATCGTGGGCGGGTTCCACGTTCGAGTAACGTTATAATGTTGAGAAAGTTGGTAACGTTATCGATCACGTTGCTTCCTGACAACTATCTCTTAATATTTTATCCCCTTCAAACTATTTACCTTTGATGTAAATTGAAGGTAAACTTTAAAACCATTTGTTCTAACGAGTTCTGTAATTCTGAAAATAATTGACAAGATGAGGAATATTCTTTTTTTTTCTTTTTTTTTCCAAATCAACTGAAACAAAATTCAGTTCAGAAGGGAAGAGAATAGTCAAAAGGAGGAGACTGATCATTGAGCATGTACAAAACAGAAGATTACCATCTCGGTAGCACCTTTGCACGCGTATTCACAGTGGCTAATAGCGATGGTGGTTCGAGCGAAGGGTGCAATTTTCATTCCAGCGGAAACGGTCAGGGAGGCAACGGGAGCACTACGACCGGAACACGTTGGCCATCGATGAAGTTACTCGACGGTCGAACTGTGCACAGCCACACAGCTACACGTTTCCTATCCGATCGACGGGACAGAAGGCAAATCTCCGGTAATTTCTGAAGAATGTACGGGCAAACGTCTGCGACTGAGTTTCGTGGAAGTTATTAGCAGGAAGTTCGTGATAATGGGGCCTAATTTGAATGTCGCCTTGACAGAGAGCGCGACTGTTAAGTGTACTGACTTCACGCGATGATATTATAAATATTTATTTCTTTTGAAATGTAACAGTGATATCAAAATAAATTGATTTTTTCTCAAGTGTTTGATAAAGTTTCGTACTTTTGATATTTAACCCTGAATTTTTATTATGATAAAAAATAATTATACAAAAGCTGAAATTTCTAATTGATAAATCGTAAAACGCAACTTTGTTGTATTTTTATAACATCAAACCGTGTCAGACTTTCTACCTGTCTCGAAATCCGTCATTTGATATGTAACATTCTGATAGTAAAAAGCATTCATACCAATCGCCAATTATCATTTTAACGTCTAATGACCGGAAGCGACAGTCGCGCTTTTTCCGATTACAAAATCGAACACGAGAAGAAAGAAAGACATCTGTAAATCCGGTTACTTTCACGTCTAAACGTATCTCGTTCCAAGTTACACTCCTTTTCTTATCCGGACAACATCTACCTTGCTCCAAATGAAACGTTGTTCTGATCTGTGTCACGTTTAGACCCATGCGACTTATGAAACACCCGTATCAAGGTGTAAGATAGTAACAAAAAAATATGTAAAGTAACACAACGTACACACAGGAATTATTGTATTTCGTTTTCTATCACAAGAATAAACAGGTTTGATATTTGGAAACGAAACTTGGAAATTTTGATTTAATAAGTTTTTAACCTTTGGATTTAATTATTTTTATTTTCTAAATATTTGTTTGATGAAAATAAGGAGAACTATAAAATTAAATTTCAATCATAAATTTCAACTATACATACATCAATTTGATAGTATTTAGTTTATTCTATTAACCATATTTTCAATTCCTCCGTAAAATAATTTACCATTCACTAAATAATACCTATTATTCTCTATGAAATGGGTGATAGGCGTCTACAAAAATTCCACCCATTACTATAAGCGACACGGTGGTCAAAGGGTTAAGAATATCCGGTGAGAAATTTCGCAACCTTCCCCCAGTAAAATATATGTTTATCGATGTCAGTGAAAAGACGATTACTCCAGAGTGATCGTCGATTTATCAATCGTCGTTACTCTAAAAAAAAAAAAAAAAAATTACTTACGATGTATGATCCACGACGATTCACTATTATCTATAGCCCGGGGCTGTTTAGAGAAATCATTTCGTGCCCGATGCAACACAGCGTGTCCGTGATTTTAATGAGTCGAGCAGAACGCACAGTTATGATTTATAGCGCGATTGCGTAACGTGATTATTACACACAGGTGTATTGATAAATTAATACACCGGTGCCACGAGTGCAACGGTATTACACACCTGTGTAGCTGCCTCGAATTAATCGAACCGCGGTTTCGTTACTTTGTAATTAAGATACTGGTAGGAGCTGTTAATACGAATCGGGCATGATTCGATTCACGGTAACAGGTGTGTAGCCCTGTTTACTCGATACCCAAAGAGATCACCTGTCCGCTCGAATTTTTGCCACATTACGAAACGCGTTTCTTGATTTTCTTGTTTCTTCTTTGCGAGAGTAGAGCAAAGAAAAATTTATACCCCGATACTTTGCTTGAAACATTATACGTTCGAAATTGAAATATCAACGTTTCTGTTTGAATATCAAGTTCCGATATGTATAAAGGAACCCTTAGACGATCAGTATCAATATGTA